CAAGATCCAGTATATCGTGTTATTTTGAATGATACAGTATTCACTGAGCTAAAGCTTTGTCGGAATAGATGTTTAGCATCCGCCTTGAGATTTGATGTATTACTATCGATTGCACGAAACTAAAGTTAAGAAATTGAATGCATGTACAAATTAGAAGTTTTCAAACTATTGAACATTCCCTTTTTTCAGATGGAAAAAGAGAGTTTAACAACGCATGTTTGACTTTATTTTTAATATTATGTAAATATGATATTCCAGGAAAAAACCCAAAGGCCTTAATTAAGAGGGCACCATTCAAAATATGACAAAGAAATTGAGATACAGAATATTGTGTTTTCCTGAATATGCAGCATTCACAAAGCTAAAGCTTCATCGGGTTAGATGTTCTGAATTCTTCTTTAGATTTGGGCATTTTTGTTGCTTCAAACGGGAACAAAGGTACAAATGACAAGTTGTCCATTCTACATTTAAAGCACACTTCACTGTTATCCATACATCTCAGTGGTACATGGCATTACAGAAGTTGTATCGAACAAATGCTTCTTCAGTGAGGGTGCATATTTTGTGCGTTGTTACTCCCCTTGGAAGCCGGCAAATCGTATTTTTCTCATTATCATAACAGATGGGGTTCATGTTTTGTTTATTTTTATCGTATCGGTAGAAGTCTAAGCATCAAACGGGCAATTTTGCAGTATTATTTCTCATGAAAGAAGTTCAAGTTGCATGGTTGTAATTGACAAAACAGATGGGGTATAATTTTGCACGTATTCATGCGTCGATCAAGTTGCACTGAGCACGGCATAGTCACCTGCAACTATTATGTGCAATTGCAATAATTTAGTGCCAACGATGGTATTAGCAATATTAGTCATGTTAGCAAAACGAAGCGGCACGCGTAACACACTCTCCAGGAATGGGCTGAAACGAGTCAACCGACTGCTGAAACACAAAACACATACAGCACGAATATTGGGTAAGAAACTCACTATTGTATTAATACTGTTAAGCATTATGGCAGGTAGGGTTATTTGGAATAACAGAAGATTGCCTGAGGTTACACAAGTATTTTTGGATGAAAAAAAGCTGTAAACAAGTGAAACGATCGCCAAATATCTATTCTTAAGTGTAATCTGTTCGAAGCCTCGTTGCCAGGAATCTAGCGGTTTTTTAAAATAATGTTTACATGATTGGGTCATGTGTAGGGTAAATGTTCAGCTTGTTTCAATGGATTTAAGTATTAACATTGCTTAATAAGTATTTAATGTAATAATTAACGTTATTTAATTTGGTATATATTAATCGATTTATTTATTCTTCTTCCATTATGGTTGCGTTGCAAACATGTTAGAATCTGCTTTTTGTACAACAGTTTGAATTGAGACCAAGCCGACATTCAACGTGTACAAGTACATGTACTTTCCAGTTGTCACTTCGGAAACTATTTGTTGTACCAGAAATAGAGAAAATTAAAACAAGGAAAGTGACACGATTTTTCTTTGTTCGTTTTAGAGCAAAAACGTTTATTTACAAAGTAACAAATTCTATTAAGTATTAAAAAACTTAATCCAGAAAGAAAGGTCAAGCAACGTTACGTGCACGACCCCAAAAAATATTTTTCAAGGTATGGTATATCAGATAACACAGATATGGCATAATTGCTTTTTAGGTTCAAAGTTATAAGTGAATTAAAATGGTCATTTTTTTTTGATAACTTGTAATTTAATACCTGATGACGTCATCATGACATCAGAGTAATGTGCACACCTCGGGATCAGGGTTGATCTTTGTTCAAAGTTTCATGTTTATATCATCTACCATTTAGAAGAAATGCCGCGGAGACAAAGATTTCCAACAAATTTACAACGGTGATCGAGTTCAGGCGCGGATCCAGGATTTTTTAGACGGGGGGCACACTGTTGGAGCAAAATTATTTGCTCCGATAAATAATGCGAGCGCGGAGCGCGAAGCCCTTACGGCGTGGGGTCCGGGTCCCGCTTAAGGGCCCCCGGGAAATTTTGGATTCTAGATGCTCTGTGGTGCAATCTGAGGCGATTCCTGGCTCCTTTCCCCTGAATTGGTTGAGCAAAAGTGTTTAAGATTTTAATGATTTTTGTAAAACATACTCTTACTTTTACAATTTTTAAGTTACTGTGTGCTTGAAAGTCGAAAACCATTTTACGTCTTTATATTTTCTTGCTTTTTTGTTGGAAAAGGAATTGTAGTGACTTCGTTTTGTAAACTGCTGCAACGATGTGTTGTGGCATTTGCTCCGAGGACTAATGCCAGGGCGGATCACGCCTGTCTTACGGCGTGGGGTCCGGGGCCCGCTGAAGGGCCCCGGAAAATTTAGAATTCTAGATGCTCTGTGGTGTATTCTGAGGGGATTCCTTGCCCCTTTTACCCTGAGTTATTTGAGCAAAACGTTTTAAGATTATAAGGATGTTTTTCATTGGTTTATAATATACTCTTGCGTTTACAAGCCTTTTCAGTTTCTTCTGTTCTTCACTTGTACAACCAAACATTTTCGTCTACATAGTTATTTCCGTGCTTATTTTTGAAAAAGAATTGTATCTTGCAAGGATGAGTATAGGGCATCTTTCTGAAGACCAATGCGGAGCGCGATCATGTTTCGGCGTGGGGTCCGGGGCCCGCTTAAGGGCCCCGGGAAATTTTGGATTCTAGATGCTCTGTGGTGCAATCTGAGACAATTCCTGGCCCCTCTTCTCCGGAGTTATTTGAGTAAATTGTTTTAAGATTATAAGATTTTTTCATTGATTAAAATATAATCTTGCTTTTACAAGCCTTCTCAGTTTCTTCTGTTCTTCACTTCATACCATGTATTTTCGCCTGCATGTCTTCGTGCATTAAATTTTTTGAAAAAGGAGTTGTAAAAACTTAGTTTGTAAACTGGTGTAAGGATGCTTTCTAATGTTTTGTTTCAAGTTGAAATTTTCAGTTTATCAACAAGAAGAAACTGCTTGAACATGTTAATTGAATTCAAGTTTAAAATTAGTGTAATTTAATCAAACTAAAACAGAGGAACAATTAGCCTGCATTGTAACTGCACAGCTCAGTTTTATCTCATGACTACAGAAATTAATCATACGGTCATCCAAGTTTCTCCCTTTTTTTTTGCATGATGTAAAATGCCCCAACATTTTAAAGAAATGTTCTTTTAATTCAGTCCAGTTTCAATTTCAAGAACAGGGCCTATTACACGTGCATGTATTTGTAAATAAACCATCGGCAGATCGGCGGTGCAGCAAGACAAATTGTGTGAGACACTGCGTCTGGTCTTTACATTATAATAGACATCGGGTCTTTCGGCGCCATGATTGCAATTTCCACAGGGTACAATTTTGAAGGTGGATTCGTCATTTAGTTATGTAAAAAAAATTACAGTAAATAATTGTTGATGATAACATTGAGAAATAGACATCGGGAATAGGTGAATATCTCCCGGTCCGGCACGGATGCCGGCCCGCGTCGCCAGCGCCACTGGCGAACTACGATCAAATTTATCTCGCTTGCCATTCAAAAAGCAACACACTTGCGTTCCGTCTAGCTTGCAAGAGCATGTCTCGAGTGCTAAAACTTGCCTTTGGGCAATAACTGCTGATTGTTTTTGTCCTCAGACAAACAAATCTCTTTTATGTACAAAACTTATCAGATTTATATTTTCTGCATAGCGTAGTAACGTCAAACCCAACTTTTGGATCTCAACTTTCTTCGTTAAAAAAACGTTTTACGGACGGATCCATGACCTTCAGGGGTGTTTCAATTTTTTCAGGGTTTTACATCGTTTCTCGAATAAAGTCTTTACGAAAATTATATTAAGACGTGACGTTGAAGAAGTCAATTTAAAACAAGGACATGTTTTGGACTCCGTGAAAAAAAAGTATAAGTTGTAATTCAAAAGCGCGTGGAACTGCTGGCAAATTGTTCTTACTAAAACACACCCTTGACCAATGGTGTGGTCCAAAGAGCACTGCGCAACGTGTGTTTGTCGCGCACATAAAGCTGCATGTTCGTAGAGAATAAATCGTGTATATACGTTCGTATGAATCGCATATAATAACGGTATATGCAGGGTAATACGTACATACGTACGTACTAGTAGTACGGTACGGGTACGTACGATGGGATCGCGGTTTATTTCGAAGCTTCTCGAGTCGAGTACGCAATGTTTGCAGACTCATGTTTAATATCGGCGCCGGTTTTTTTGTAAGGAGGTTCCGTCCTCCTTCCCTCACCTCCCCTCTTTTTCCCCCTTCTATTCCTTTTTTTTTTTTGGACTCAAATTTGACGGGGGGCACGTGCCCCCGCGGCCCTCCCCTGGATCCGCGCCTGGAGTTGTGCTAGCTCACCCAGCAAGCCAACATTTCTTCCCAACTTTTTTTCGGGATGATGATTAAACCTGGTGTAAACCTGAAACCCGCTCCGACGATGTGAACATTTGTCATGACGTCATCATGACGTCATAACATTACAACTATTTGCGAACTCTAACTTTTCAAGTGATTGCAGTACCGTTCTCATTGTTTGTGATAAGTTAGACATTGCCTCGGGCAACGTTTTGGATTCCTACGCACAAAACCGTTTGACCTTAACTTCCGGTAATACCGGAAATTCAAGGAAAATTGAATACAATTTGAAACTATTTAACTGTTTTATATCATCACGAATAGACAACACAACATCCAAAGAGGCGAACGTCATGTACATGTACAAACTAAATTACCCTGTTGTCATCTATATGGCTACGGAGCGGAGGTCCATTGAAAATGAAGTAGTACAAAACGAGACACATTCGTGTACACATATTCTTGCACTGCGCTTTGCATGGGCGACGCGTTCCTGTCAGCACAGTTTTAGAAGTGTTGGTAGAAACGGGCTAAATTAGTTGTGTTTTATTGAACAGTATTGGTTACTTTGGTTCCGGAAATGGCGTCGACTGGAGTGAAGCCCACGTATTACGACCACGACAAGTGGGGTGGGTTATGGTCGGTGCGGCGTTCGTCAACTCTTTTGTCATATATGGTCAGATCAAAGCGCTGGGTGTCCTGCTCATTCCGATGACAAACGACTTGGACAGTGACTTGTGGCTTGTCGGCTGGATTGCAATCCTCCATGTCATGGCGCTCAACTGTTTCGGTAAGGATATGTTACGCCCCAACTATGTAGCAATGACCCCCACAATAGCTTGCACAGTCCTGTGAGTTTAGTTCGGGTAATCCCAACTATTCTAGTTTGGAGGTACTGAAACTGAAACGATGCTTTGGTTGGTGTATTCCATTTAACATGTATAAAAGTCATGCTTCAAATAATTAGAGAATGTTGCCAGAATGTGTTTTTAAGACTTTCGGTCACATTTTGTACCGTCCGGGTCAGATTTCACTAGGAATCCGAGCCCTATTTAAGCTAATACTTATCAGGCTCAAAATGACACTTTTCCGGGTGAAAATGACACTTCTCCAGGTCTATATGATACTTTTTGGATCAGTTCCGGACCAGGAAATCTTTGCAAATGTGTCATTTGACCTATGTATGTCACATTGACCCTGAAATATGACTCAGATTCTGGGTCAAATCGAACCCGGGACGCCATTATTTTTCATGCAACCAAAGGGGATAAGTGATAATTTGGTGAATATCAGCGTCCAGACTCCAGCCGGTCTAAACATAGTGTTTAAAACCCAGCCAAACACAAATGTATTCTCTTATGATAAACAGGTTGTGCAAGTGTTTATATAATTCTGAGTACGAGGCTTGGTTTCACAAACTTTTCTGTTCCCGACCTTCTATATTGGGTTATGGCAGTACAATATTTCGATTATGATGAGGTCTCATCTGGAACCAACATGTCAGAGGAATCATTAACAAGTCAAGTCACACTAATGTTGCTTTTGCCCCATTCTAGCACCTTTTGTTGGCGCTCTCTCTCGTCTACTTGGCAGTCGTCCAATGATGGTCGTAGGTGGACTTTCGTACGCTTCGGGTCTTATATTGTCGTCGATGTCAACCACGACTCTGCTCCTGTCCGTATTTTTCATTGGACTGTTAGGTAAAATTAAGACTTTTTCAAGATGTTCATGTCTGATGTTGCAAAATGTTTACGCATTCAAGGATGGACCTTGCGCTGCAAAATGCGTCGAGGCCTGCCAGACTTACTGGAATTGTGCTACATTAATAGGGCCAATACTTCAACCCGGGCAAATGTGGCTCTCACCACGTTATTTGGATATGTTTGAATGGGGAACTTGTGGAAAATGAAACAATGTTGGAGCATTAAAAAAATAAGCAAGACAATAGGGTACGATTTAGTGTATAGGTCGAGTACATGTACTTCCGAGTACAATCACAGGTCTCCGCGTACGAGTACTTCTACCTCCGAGTACGAGTACGAGTACTTCCGAGTACGAGTACGAGTGCTTCCGAGTACAAGTACGAGTACTTCTATTTCCGAATACGGCCATACTTCAAAGGCCCAGTCAAACCGATATACGGACCCACTCACGGCTAGCTGTTAAATGTGTTTGTCGGTCAGACGTGCATAGAGGAAAATAAAAAAACTTCAATTTATCCGCAAGCGTCAACCATTTCCAACTGAAAGTATCGATGAAATAAGGTCGTGGTAAGTCAAGTTGTATTCGGGTACGAGTATTTTGATGATCGAGTACAATTTCGACATGTCTAGTACAAGTACTTCGCTGCCCGAGTACGAGTACCGTCATTTCGAGTACGAGTACTTTGACATTACAGTACGAGTTCCAGTACGAGTACTCCAAAAAGTACTCGAGTAGTACTCGAGTACGAGTACTACAACACTGATCCGTAATCACCAAAATATTCCCAGCAAAAGGGCATGTGCAGAAAACTGACCCTATTTTAATGAAAGCTAAACATTTCAGTCAGAAATAAACACAAGTTGCTCTAAAAACTATGATTCATACGTGTGACAAATTTCATATTCGTACGATTTATAATACGCGAGGGAGAACATTGTATTCATAATACGCGTGGGGGAAATTTAAGCCTTTTTAATGCAATTTTCTTGAAAGTGATTTTCGCGTCAGAACGCTCATAACTATGCCCTTCTGCCGGGTACCCGACGAGGTATACTCGCACATTTTGCGTCAGCACTGGTATCTCAGCGAGTGTTGTCTGTTATAAATATAGTGACAAAAACTACACAAAAAGGTATACTCTGCCTGTCCAGGCATTACAAAACCAGTGCCCTCTGACTCGGCTTTAGCCATTAAAGTTCATGACTTGGCGTAAGGTCCATTACGGGGTGTACAAAATTGTTACAGCTCCAAATTATATGTGTAAAACATTAAAAGGGAAAATTTATACTCATTAACTGCATCAATAGACGGGATTTTCCTGCTATTTATACCAAGAAAATGGCGTCTTACACCGTCCTCATGTGCCCCCAAAAATAATGACCAAGTTGATGATTATTTTTTTTGTAGGTATCGGGGCAGCGTTCAGTTTCTTCATCAGTTATGCTGTAATGGCCTCGTACTTCAAGGAAAAGTATCCCTTAGCTGCTGGAATAGCAACGATGGGTTTTCCTGTGGGTGTGATGATTTACGGGCCAGTTACACAGGTACTTCTGGACACCTATGGCTGGAGAGGAACCATGCTTTTACTGGGAAGTGTCTCGTTTCATCTGGTGGCGTTTGCTTTGTTAGTGCGACGGGACCCATCTTCCTCTTCACCAGATAGTCAGCAGTACCAAGAGGTTTCGGTAAGCGAAGAGGAAGACGCCGATTCAAAGGAAAATCCTACACTTTGCAGTAATCACACACCTTGTACCTCCGACTCAGCTCTTCGTAAAAGTAGGCTTTGGGAGTGTTGCCAGCGTTTTACTAATGCATTCGATTTAGCATTGCTGAAAGATAAAAGGTTTGTCTTCTTGGCTTCCGCGAGATTTACTGGTGCTCTTGCCTACAGTGCATGGGTGGTGTATGTTGTACCGCACGGGCAGTTTCAGGGTCTGACTGAAACACAGGCGTCGTTTCTTCCCACTGCCTTCGGTTTTGGCAATGTCATTGGCAAGTTGGTAGCGCCCATCTTGCAGGAGGTCGGCGTAAAGCCATCCATGACATTCTGGGCGTGTTTCGGGGCAAGCGTCGTGTGCCCATCGTTCCTCTTAGACGCCTTCATCAGACCGTTCATCGGACAGTTAGCTGTGATGGGACTCGTAGGCGTCGGTTACGCTATGATGTACCAAGCTATTGATGTCATGTTGCGGTTTCTTTCGACCGACGACCGGTTGGTCAGTATACTGTGCTGGCAAGGGGTTTTCATTGGGATATCTTCGGCACTTGGTGGATTAGTGGCAGGTGTGATGCTTTTCCCTTATTATTTCCCTATTATTTAGCACATTTCCAATGCAGCCTGTTCTCCATGCAGCACTGTGACCTATGACATAATGAAGTCATGCATTATTTACATGTGGGCACTTGGTGGCTCTCGTCCCGATCCGATGGCTCCCATAAGAAAGCCCACCTGTAAACAAATTGTGAGGTCATTATGTCTCCGGCCTATTGAGTAAAGTAACTGCCTAGCTCCAATGGGCTCTGAAGACTCTAACAAATAATTTTGAATCGCAGTTGCATAACTAAAACACAGAAGACGAAGACTAACAAACAGACTTCTATCGATCGAATGACCTATGAACTGAACGTACTCTTTTTGGCAGCCCATCAAGAAAATGTGCACCCTAATTCCCCCACTGCCGATTACCGGAGACGAGCAATATATGCAGTTCGACTTCTTTTGTCCATCACTAGATCAACGTTAAAGTCACTTTGGTATTCTTAATGTGCACCAGTGGCGCAACTACTCGGGGGATGCGCACGGGGGTACCTGCCCCCTCCCCCAGCGAAGATCCGTTCCACCCGGGTGCTCCTTCTCCATTTATAATCTTGAATTGCACAAAAATAATATACCTGTTGCCTTCAGTGCCCCCTTGAATAATTGGTGCACCCCTATGTGCCTCCTCGAAGCTGACCCTAGATGTATACGCCGCTGATGCGCACGCATTCAACATTTGATGATCCTCACTTCGAGTTAAATAATGAATCGTCTTTTGCGTGGAAAATCATTTAAAGAGTACCAAAGAAATGGAAGTTAAGTTATTGTCGTGACGGCAACAGTTCATCTATTTCTGTCAAATATTAGGTTAATATATTCTACAGCACTTTTATTTTCAGTCTATCAATCAAGCGATCTATTTCCATCCGTAGCTTCTCACTTCATGCGAATGAGGGCGCTGTAAAGACACTACTTTCTTTCTGAGTGCAAACAGTACAAACATTTTTATTACAGGAATGTAGAAACTACACTTCAATATCATGGTTAAGATTGAAAAAATGTACGTTCTAAATACGGTGATTCCCAATACAGTGCGCCACCAAGAGGTCGCCACGGAGAATTCTTGTGGAAATATTTGATAGTTTGAGGCGAAGTATTCTACCGCCTCACAAAAGACACCATTAGCCTGTTTGAGAAATGGCGGAGAAGGGGAGGGCGCTATTTGGTTTGGGAAAATACTACAGACTTTACCCAAATCAAATAGCGCCCTCCTATTATGTCAGCCATAACTCAAAATGGCGTCCATATTCAGCGTCGTCGTTCGCTCAAATAATTCGGTCTTTTACGATGACGATTTAATTATGTGATATCAAACTGCTATTTTCTCTCAGGTTGGATTTATGAGTGGACGGGGAGTTTCCGCATTTCCTTCTGCTTGTTCGGTGGAGTGATCTTGTTGTCCGTTCCCTTGCTCATCGCGGAGGCTGTGTACGATACAAGGAGGGCGCCCTACCGAGGCTGATTGCAGAGCTGTATTTTAAATGATCTACGCTTGGTTGGCGAACTGCCAACCACAAGTTGCAAAACTTTAGAACGTCCAACGCTGCAAAAATTAAGAATATTTATCACAGATAACCAAAATATTATTTGATTGTTGGAAATACAACATTGCCACCAAAGCTATTCCTAAACATGCCTTTTTACTATGCATTGGGGCGTATGGGGACTTTTTTGGGAAAAAAATATGTTGCCAACCACGGCTTTATTTTATGCGCTTGCGGCAGCCCATATAAAATGGCGCCAATGTTTACAAACAAAACAAAGATCTATAGAGAGTTGCGACATTAGCGTCGCACTGTTTGGAACAAAAATGGCAGATGATGCATCAGTGCACGTACACAATAGTCGCACGCTGCACTGTACACATAATGAACGGCCATTATGGTTCGAAAGTCTGAAGTTGTTGCAAATCTGATCGTGATCTCTCATCTAACTACGACGCATTGTATATATAATAATTACAACATATTAGTGGCTGTAAATACGGTGCTGCTCCATGTAACATGTTAGTCACATACTGGTACAAAATTGTAACACAATATCACATTAGGCCTAGATGTGACATGATTCTAAAACATTTGTAATTGAACAACAGCTGTCGACGCCATTTTGGAGTATATTAACAGACGTAGGCCTACATGCAAGTTTATTTTGGGCCTACGTGAGTTTACATGTTACTTCAAATCAACCTTTTTTTCGTTTTGCCGTACATGTTTTACCACTATTTAAAATTGTAATATAGCATACAAATTCAGTTTACATATCGAGAATGGATCTTTTTCATCGAGTGGCTGAAAAGAAAAGACAAGAACAAGAACACAAGAAAATGAAAATTAAGGTTTGCGTGGTGGACATAACAATGTATGGAAGGTATGCGGTAATACCATGTGAATGATATCTCTTTTGAGTTGATCATGGTACATAGGTGCTTCATCGTAGGTCTAATGGCTCTTCTATACCCACGGACCCCAACCAATCCCATAGTTCTCTCTCATTAGTTGTGCCTATGGGTCCCATATACCCTTGGCACCCTGCGCAACCCTTGATGGTCATCCCAGCTGTAACCTAGCACTATCCTTCTGACATGCTTCAGTGAGCACACACAGTCCTACCCAGCAGCTGTTCCATTCCCGCCTTAACGGTCCACCGAACTTAGCATCCACTACTCAAACTACTACACAGGCAAGAGTCCGCCAGTCTCCTAATAACGAACAGAGCACACTGTTCGAAAAGTCGAGTTATAACAACTGGTTCTTCTCAGAACCACACAACTTAAAAGATGGTGTTACTGCAAACTTTCCACTCATTGACAAGAAAATGGCACATTTGTCAAGGACAAGCAAAACTGTATTCGGTAGACGCCGCATAATAAATTTAATCAACAGTGTGTAGCTTATGAGCTAGTTGGCTAATTAGTAATACACTTATTATCTCATCAATCGGTGAATTACCAAAATCTGCTTGTGTATGATGACACTGTAACGATAATTTATTGATGGTATTACTATCGATCGTAAGAAACTATATAGTTAAGAAATTAAATGCATGTACAAATTAGAGTTTTCAAACTATAGAACATTGCCATTTTTCAGATTGAACAATTTATTTATGATTTTTTTTGAATATCGTCGGTACAGGTAATCCAATGCCAACAAAAGTATCCGTAAGTTAAGGAGAATACGCGAGAAAGTGTACACGGATTCGTAATTTAAGAATTTCGCGCCTCGTGAATTCGTAAATTAAGAATCCACTCTTGCGAGTGTATTCTTTGACTTAATTAAACCATTGCGTCAACAGAAGTATTGGAAAGAATGTTGCAACCTGACGCCACTTTTTTCTTCATATATCATCTCAATGAAGAAATGTTTCCAATTTTGATAGGAAATACTTGAAATGATTCTCCATAGACTTTGTACACAAGCGCGGAAGTGGCGTCAGGTTGCAATATTTTTTTTCCTGGCGTAATTTAGCATGTGTATTGCCTCACCCGTACAACCAAGTCATTTTGTGTGTATGCTCCTTACGTCAAAATGGATAGTTCAGACGACGATTTCTTTCTGACTAAAAGTAGTTTTGCAGTGACGGCGGAGAATCTGACAGTGAAGATTCATTGGTAATTTTCGGAAAGCAAATTTTCACGAAGACGGTCCTACTCATGCTCATTATGGAGAACAATTATATTGTCCGACGTGTTCAAAGTGTGGATTCGTAATTCCGAATCTCCACTCTACTAAAGATTCGTAGTTCCGAATCCATACTTTGTGACCAGTGTAAGAGATTCCAAGATCCGAATCTACACTTTTAGCAATAGTTTGACGTCATGACAATGGTTTAACTCATTATATACACGTGCACGACTACTCCCCCGCGCTTACTCGAGCAGGCGCGACTGCGTTCACTTTAACTCTCATTTAACCTTGAATGCAAGGCTGTGATTGTGCTGTATCAAGTTGCAGGCATTACTTGCAATACCTTACCGAGCCGCGAATGTTTCCCCTAAACGACATCCACGACCATAAGGATGTCGTTTTCCAAGTTACAACACATTTTTCCATCACTTTAATACAAATTTTAAAAAATCATAACTTATAACAGGGTATAATGTTCAATGAAAAACTTACCTACGCGATCACCCTGTGTTTGTAACTCGACCAACGCAAATTGCTAGTATACTTCAATTTGTGCCTATCGCTGGGGGAACCAGAAGGTTCTCATGGCGGCCACAAATGACCATTCTCATGACTGAGTGCCTTCAATACCTATTCTATACTCCTCATGAATAGACAGTGCAAGGAACCGTGACTAATTTTTGTTACAGAAAAAGGTCAAAACTCCCACGTACGCAGCGAACTGCCTACAATGGACAAACTAAAGTCCATGAGCATCAACGAGGCCATATATCGCCATATCCTGGTTTTGGTCCATGGTATATACACCAGAGGGGGTGTGACTTGCCAGGCCTCAAGTGGCTTGCTCAGTATTGGGCTTGTGCACACTAAACTTCCATAGGCTTGTTTACAAATTGTGCACGCCTCCGGGATTCCCCCTAATGACAAAATGAAACAGTCTTTTAGTCTGCGTGGTTTTAACTTCGCCCTCTCGTCTCTTGCGATGTGGCTTAAATTAAACTTCCAATGTCGTTTCATAAATGAATATGAGCTTATAGAGCTACGATCGAGCACACCCTGTTGCCGGCTATACGGCTACGGAGCCAATGGAGCATGAAGCAATACAAATAGCAGATGTACACGTACTACGTGTACATGTATATTCTGGCACTGCGCTTCACCTGTGGGCGCGACGTATTCTTGTCAGCAGAGTTTCAGAAGTGATGTTATATAAATAGGCTAAAGGAGTTGCATGTGGTTCATTGAATAGTATTGGTTACTTTGGCTCAAGAAATGGCATCGACTGGAGTTAAGCCCACGTATTACGACCACGACAAGTGGGGGTGGGTTATGGTCGCTGCGGTGTTTGTCAACTGTTTTGTCATCGTCGGTCAAATCAAATCGTTTGGTGTCCTGCTCATTCCGATGGCAAACGACTTGGACAGTGACCTGTGGCTTGTCGGCTGGATTGCTGGCCTGCATGTAATGGCGCAAAACAGTATCGGTAAGGAAATATGTTACATACCAACGACTTCAATGGTCCCACTTATAGTTTGTACGGTCGTAATTAGTATCGTTAGGGTAACCCCAATTTTAGTGGATTATCCCTAATAAAGTTTATTCTCAAGAGTGGACTATGCTATGGTTTTCGGTACATTATTAAACAAGGACGTTATAAAAGCCTATCATCCAAATGAATGGACCTTGTTAGAATTTTGGTGGCATTGTTTACACGTGTTTTTTTTTTTTAAGGAACTTTAAACTCTAAAAAACTCCTGGTCAGATTCAGGCCACAACCGATACCCCCTGATACATCTCAGGGTAAAATGACACCAATAAGCATCTGTACTGATGATGTCAGACTTTGTTTACATGTGCACTTTCCTATGGAGCCGGTGGGGGCCATAGGTCCACTGAGCACCATACATGTAAACAAAGTGTGACGTTATCAGTACAGAGGCTAATTCTGGGCTAATATGACATGTCTCTTGATCATTTCCGGGTCATTTTGACCCTGAAATGCATTCCTGTTTTTCTTGTAGTTAAGACAAATTGTTGAAAAACTCATTGCAGTCGCATTGTGAACACTCTTTCACTACAAATTTGTGATCATGATTTCCTTGGGTGCTTGTTCATTTTGCGACGGATAACCCTAACCAAAACATGCATATAATTATGTTTTCCAGAGAGGGGAATCTTGTGTGGACGTGGGCCACACAAGGTCCACACGTCTTCACCAACTGAATTGTATGGACATATTTTGTTCAAAGGTCTACACAGTGACTGCACATGGGTACTGATACAGCAAGACTAAGACAGAACAATATTCATTGTAACGTATATGTCCTCAATATAAAGTTGTTGTTGAAAACGGTCATCAAACGTAACTCTGGTAGTACAATAAGTACATGTATGTAGGCAGTCCGTCACCCACTGAGTTATGGGGACTTTCTGTTGTAACACCGTGGGACAACACGTGTGCAGTCCCCACAATTACGGAACAAGAAAGACTGAGTATATTATGTTAACACCGGGAATAGTAAACCTCGGTCAAAAAGGTATAGGGCACAAACAATACGTCCACGATTGACAGATATAGTCCACTATTGAAATTCGCGTACAAAACCAATGAGAGCTGTTGCCAAAAAGTTGAACGATTGAAATTCGTAAAAAAACGATTGAACTTCGTGTACAAACAAAGGAATGAGGATTAGGGACAATAGGGGGTCCATGATTACCGGTGTGTACAAAGATGTTTGTGGGTGTACAAGCATTACATTCACTGTGTGGACTTCCGAACAAAAGGGGTCCACTTTACCAGGTAGCAGGGACGTTGTGTGGACTTGCCCACGTCCACACAGCGTTTCCCCCTCTCTGGAAAACAGGTTAGAGGCACATTTGGGTAAGGCTTATCTGTGGCAAAATGAAGAGAAACACCTGAGGGAATCATAGAAAAAAATTGGGTTGAAAGAGTTTTTACAGTGTGAGTTAAATAAGTGTTTTCACAGGTTTTTCTTAACTACACGAAAACAAAGGAATGTCCAAACCTTGTGTGTAACGTAAATATGGCTGTGTGCGTGAGTTTGTTTCTGCATTTAATAGGGGGCGTTGAACAAAAGCAGACAATAAGGTTCCTAATTCCCGAGAGGTCCCATATTAGGATTCAAGTGCAAAACATATTGGAGGTCTTCCTGAAAAGTAAGAGTAAAAACAAAAGAGGGACAATGGGTGGTCCCCGATTGCAGGCAAATACAGACTTGGGTGTGTGTGTGTCTGTGTACGGTGCATGAACACTGTGATCTGATACACCGTGCCCTCTGGAGACATGCACACAATAGGGAACACAAGATTGTATATGTCTTCACAGGGCTATTTCTATAGATGAAAACGTTTCCACAAGATTTTTACGAAAGAGATATATCGATTTTACTCAAAAAACTAGGAATTTCCAAGGTATGTTCATGTGTTGCAAATGATACAGTTTTAGAAAAGGGATATTTAGTCCGAATTTCAGCCAAGGAATTTAATTCTGGTTAAAATAAGAACATTTTGAAAATGTACTTTCAACTCGAAAACTTCAGCACACGAGAACAAAGAAATGTCTCCACAAGGATACAAATTTCAGTATGTGTGTATGACATATAGGGAACCAAAAACTCTTTTGGGCGTGCCATGTGTTAATAGTTAGCGAGATTCTATTGGGCTCTTGTCCGCCTGCCCAAGTCGAGCAAAACGTAAGAAAAGGGGACACACAGACGAAATGTCTAACTCTGTAGGAAGATCCTATTGATTTCGCCAAACAGAATCTGCGGGCAACTCGCCGCACCGCAATCAGAACTGCAACTGATCGATTCCCAGCAAAGACAAGCACAGCTTCACAAAATGTATCACAATGTTACAACTTCGGGGTCGGTGTCGGGGTTCAGCGATTCCCGTGTATACACGGGAATCACTAAACCGACTATTTTTATTGTGTAAAGTTGCCAGATCGAGGTTCTGCATGCTTATGGCGGAGCTTGCAAAGAGCGAATAGGGAGCCGTGGTTGTCAAATCTTTCCGCCCCACAGGGAGATGTAAATTCAACTTTTATAGGAGTCAAGGCACTCTTTTCTTGTTTCCCCCGTTTTTGTCCCTCCAGCACCGCTTGCAGGCGCCCTCTCTCGTTTGTTTGGCAGTCGTCCAATGATGGTCATAGGTGGACTTTCCTATACTTTGGGTCTGATATTATCATCGATGTCACCCTCGATTCCCTTCTTGTCAATTTTCATTATTGGACTATCAGGTAATTAAGACTTCTTCAAGATATCCTGTACAGCTGTTGTTATAAATGTACGCATTCAGTAGTACAGTAAGAACTTACGAGGACCCTGAAATTTGAGTTAACAGGCACATTTTGGTTGCGATGTGTTTGTTGGGACTTAAGCTATCTCCCAAGACAATTTAACCAAAATCAACCTTGGGGAAATGTGTTAATTAATAGAAAAAGGCATATGCAGTATATATAAGAAGGTATGCATTTCCGACATCTAAGCGAAATCTTACCCTTTGATAATTATATGAATAGGCAAGGATCCTTGCAATTGTTCAACTTAAACGAATATAATATGGCAAAAGTGCAAACTTAGCTAAGACTATGACCAAATTTATTACGATAAAAGCATTTTAGGAAGGTCATTGTTGTACGTCATTGTCATTGCCATCACCATCAAAATGCCAAATGGCTTATGACTTCAAAACCCTTCAAAGTGTTCGGAGAGAGATGCCCTAAATAGAGAATGAAATACTGTTTCCACTTTTTCCACCGGATACCGTTTTATAGTGGCGAAACGGGGAGGGGTTATTGGGACACGCCCCCTAGCAATTAACTTTTCCCTTCCCTCTCCACTTGTGCTCCCAAACCCTTCCACCCCATACTCTCAGAAGTTGTTGAAAGAAATTGGCTTTTTATTGTGGAACATATCGTAGATATCGTTTATACCAAGCGGATTCTGCAGGCAACTCGCCGCACCGCTACCAGACCTGCAACTGATCGATTAGACAAGCACAGCTTCACAAAATGTATTACAATGTAACAACTTTACTCAACCCTGAAATCTAGCCAAGCCCTACCCGAACAATATAACCCCATTTAAGCAACCTATTTATAGAGCCTATTTCCGGAGCGCGCTCTAGCCAGATCCAAAACCAGGTCAGCACACCTGTGGCCCAACCCGCCAACAATGCGCCGCCAGGGCCCTCCGGCAGCGTCATCAAAAAACGCCACATCAAAAGTGCTACACAAACTGTCCGTTACAATACTAAGGTTCATCTGTAGTTTACCTTGGCTCATTATAAAAATATTTCAAAACCTCAAACACCATAGTCTGGTTGCTAGAGATAGCCATGATTTCAAAAGCAAGAGGTCGTCCGAGGAATTCGCTATTACCATCTTCAACTGATTTGTCATTAATTTTACTTCAAGAATACCAAGATAGAATTCCAACATGAATGTTTCTAGAACCTTACGGTTAAATGTTATTCTGCCAAATTATTTCTGGCAGGTGAAAAGGATACTCAATGGAAGATTCCAATATGCGGGCCTCGCAAGGCAATGCTCGCCGCATTGACTCTCGGGTTCTATTGTTTTGCAGGTATTGGGTCAGCGTTCAATTTCTTCATCGGCTCTGCTGTAATGGCCTCGTACTTCAAGGAGAAATATCCCTTAGCTATTGGAATAGCAACGATGGGTTTTCCTTTGGGAATGATGATTTACGGGCCTGTTACACAAGTACTTCTGGACACCTATGGCTGGAGAGGAACCATGCTGTTACTGGGAGGTGTCTCGTTTCATCTGGTGCCGTGTGCTATGTTAGCGCGACGGGACCCATCTTTCTCGTCACCAGATAGTCAGCAGTACCAAGAGGTTTCGGTAAGCGACGAGGAAGACGCCGATGCAATGGAAGAACAGACAGTTTGCAGTGATGGCAAACCTACGACCCCCAAAGGCAGAAGCCGCTCAAATTTAGATCTTCGTAAAAGTAGGCTTCGGGAGTGTTGCCAGCGTATTACTGATGCATTGGATTTGGCATTGCTAAAAGATAGAAGATTTGTCTTGTTGGTTTTTGCAAGATTAACTGGTGCTCTTGCCTACAGCCCATTGGTGGTGTATGTCGTAACGCACGGGCAGTTTCAGGGTCTGACTTTAATCCAGGCGTCGTTTCTTCCCACTGCCTTCGGGTTTGGCAACGTCATCGGCAAGTTGGTAGCGCCCATCTTGCAGCAGGTCGGCGTAAAGCCATCCATGACATTCTGGGCGTGTTTCGGGGCAAGCGTCGTGTGCGCATCGTTCCTCCTAGACGCCTTCATCAGACCGTTCATAGGACAATTGACTTTGGCGGGACTTATAGGCGTTGGTTACGCCACGATGTTCCAAGCTAATGATGTCATGCTGCGGTTTCTCTCGACCGACGACCGGTTAGTGAGTATGCTGTGCTGGCAAGGATTTTTCATCGGCTTAACGGCAGCACTTGGTGGATTAGTGGCAGGTGCGAATTTCCTTTAAAATCCAAACAAGATTTTGAATCAGAAAAACAATCCCTGGTCAGATTGACCCGGATTCCGGGAGTTATTTGGCCCGACGCTATTCAAAGTCAAATTTGACAGTCTTCTTGTTCATTTCGACCCGAATACCAAAAGTGTCATTCTGACCCAGGAAAGTGTCAATATTGACCCTTGAAGGTATCAGTCCAAAGCTAAAAGAGAACCTGGATTCCGAATCAGTCTGGCTAGGATTGTGTCCAATTTAGCACATGTCGCAGCTTGTTCTCTCAAATTGTAGTTGCGTAATAACTACAACACAAAATATGAGAAACAAAAAACAGACCTGTCCATATGTAGCGCGATATGGGACGGAGGGACCCCCCTCCTTTGTGTTGTTCATTGTGTAACCACAATCTCAGGAATTCTTTTGAGATATCTAGCGGGATGTGTAAGGTAATAGTGGTCTAGGGTTTGCATAGAGTATATAGGGAGAAAGGGGGAGGGGGGGGGGTACCCCTCCGTCTCTTACCGTGCTGGGTATACCCCCGCCCCACTTTGTATCGATTCGGACCCATTTCTCCCCACTTCCAATTTCCAGATTAGAGCAAAGTGTTCGATAGTCTGAACATACACTCTTCGGATCGATCGTAATTAGATTGAAATGTGACGTAGGGGTCAGCCTAATTTCAGTGTTGACGCGCGTACCAATTTAGCGTGCTGCATTAAGTAGGCCATTCAGATCAAATCACTAGAACAAATTTTATTTCAGTTTTGTACTCTTAATGTGCACGCAAATGAACATTTTATGATTGTCACTTCCAGATGAACAATTAACCCTTTCTAAAAGTGAATACGAAATAGAAGTAAAGCCACTGTTTTGAAGCCAACAGATCATCTACTTATGTCATTCCTCTAAAACGTCAGGTCGGCCTTTTGGGCCTTCTACGTTTTACAACATTTTTATGTTCAAACTATATCTATCCAGCGATCTGTTTTACCCATGTTGTTCTCACTACATACAATGGTACATCTTGAAATACAAACAGTAAAAAATACCACATTGAAGCAATTCATTAATATCACATCAATCTCAGATGAAACATTGTAAAACACAGTCGTGTTAAAAATTATGCAACATGTTACCTTATTACGTTACTCACTTTGGATGCACGTCTGTTTGTATTCCCAATGAAAAGCGCCCTCAATCGATCACAATTTTGCCTTTTACCGAAAAAATGAGTCGGAATGGGAGACTTTTGAGACGCTTGGTGGCAGCAGACACTCCGGTCCTTGTCTAGTGTTAACGTCATTTTGAACACGCGCACAATAGCTTAAACATGACGTAAACAATTGAAAAGGCGTACCGGTGTGTTTGCTACCACCAAGCGTCTCAAAGTGTCCCATTGTCTTCCGTCTAAATTACGTCAGTATAAAGGCCATTTTAACTGGTATTTTCTCTTAGGTTGGATTTATGAGTGGACGGGGAGTTTCAGCATTTCCTTTTGCTTGTTCGGTGGAGTGACCTTGTTGTCGATTCCCTTGTTCATCGCGGAAGCTGTGTACGCTAAAAGGAGGGCGCCCTTACAAGGCTGACCGTACCAACCTCAATCCCAGGATCTACTTTCAACCTCAAAAAAGTAGCAGCCCCTGGCAGGGAAACTTGCGTGTGATCTGAATCAATCCCGCAATAGCAAGAAGTGAATTCATGTCGTGTAGGCCTACTTGGTGTTTTTCGTTCCGACATGTAAAAACATGTCTTTAAGATTTTAGAAAGATGGGTGTACTCAGCAGTTTATACTTTAACCTTGTTTAAAACAATCTGAATACTACGTGCCAGTCAGGATTGAGACCCTTGCACTCAACTGAAAGCACCCTACATGATTTAACAACAAGTGTTTCCAGGCTGTGGAGCATAGAAAGTTACAGGCAGTGTGTTTACATATCTCAGTAAATCATTTTGTTGATCATGTTATCCTTCTGGATAAATTTAAAAGGCTTAGGGAGCCTAATATGTCAACTTCCTTAATCAATTGGTTTATTTGGTGAGGAAAATATCTGTCCTGATTGATTTTTTTCGCCTGTGCGGCCCACCTGAGCTACGTGTTGAGCTAAAACGATTAATAGCCAATGAAATCACGTACTTGGTACACGTGATTTCAAGATATTTTGTACACGTCTTCTAAGGCCTGCTGGTGTTTGTCCCCATTTTTTTTAACGTCCAATCCTCAAAAACAATCCTCTTTTTCCATTTTGTTTATATAAATATAGTGTAATACTTCATGTTGGATAGGTGAGGTCACGTCTCACGCTACAACATTTTTTTTTATATTAACGACGAAATATTTATGCTGTAAATGCGGTGCTGTTTTATGTACATGTCCATGTTTTCTTATTAGTTACTCAAGTTAGTTACGGTTTTTATGACAACCTTTTCGATACATAACAGATGTTTGTAATTGTTATTTAGCCCTACCTTTGTAAATGTATATGTTATTAGAAATAAGGGAAAGAGAACTACCAAAACTAATAAACTTCTACTTTCTCTTTAAAATACAAATGTAAAAGAAAAGAAATAACAGCGTTGCTGTTGAAACCCCTCAGCCAGAGTCAGGCTATCATTCGGACACCATTAACCTTTAACTCAACATTGTGTCCTTGACCCTTGGCCTTTGACCCCAGAACCAATCCCAACATGCCTGTACCCAAGGGCAACCCCCTACCTAAGTTAGACAGCAAAATGTGATTTCTAACTCGTTATCATCCGGAAACCATTTACCTTTAACTCACCACATTGACCTTGACCTTTGACCTTTTGACCCCAAAACCAATCCCAACTTGCCTACTCCTAAGGGCATCCCCCTTCCAAAGTTAGAAACCAATATCTAATTTCTTACTCAAGTTATTTCATCCGGAAACCTTTTACCTTTAACTCACACGGTGATCTTGACCCTTGACCTTTTGACCTCAAAACCAATCCCAACTTGCCTACCTTCAAGGGCAACCCCCTACCAAAGTTAGACACCAAAATCTCATTTCTAACTCAAGTTATCATCGGGAAACCATTTATTTTAACTCACCAAGGGAACCTTGACCTTTGACCTTTTGACCTCAAGACTAATCCCAGCTTGCCTACTCTCAAGGGCAACCCCCTACCAAAGTTAGACACCAAATCTAATTTCTAACTCAAGTTTTTATCCGGAAGCCCTTTACCTTTAACTCACCACGCTGACTTTGACCTTTGACCTTTTGAGCTCAAAACCAATCCCAACTCGCCTATTCCTAAGGGCAACCCCCTACCGAAGTTACAATCCCAAACAACCTTTCAAATTCAAGTTATCATCCGGAACTTAAGCTGCCCGGACTGACATCCCAGCCCGATGAACTTCCGGGGTACCTCTATTGTTGTCCCATTGTCCCTATTTCTAAAGATTTCGTTGCGGGGTACCTTTTTTTCTAAGGATTTTATTTGCGGGGTACCTCAAACAATGGACGGGTATCCCACCAGTGGTCCGTGGTAAGCACGGCACTCTGACTGATTTGTTTCGTGCCCCTAGTCAAATAAAAATAATGTTCACAAAAACAAAGAACGCTCGAAAATTGTAACAATTTTTCTGTTTCCATTTCTGTAAACTTAAGGAGCTATAATGCATGACTTTCCTTTGACCACTCGCGGTAACGAGCGCGGCAAAGGTCCAACAGAAAAAGTAATCCAGTGGCTACCATAGCGGCGCTATACAAGAAAAAGGTCCCGTAGAAGCTCTCTGTGACGTCATAAAGCAAGCCTAGAGAGAACGAAAATAAAAGAAATGCAAGTTTATGTCTTATTGTTATGAGCAGAGAATATAAATGAGTCAGTTAACATTGCTAACGCATTAGGAAGGAACACTAGAGAAGAGAAAAAAAATGTCAGTAATTTCTGAAGGAACCTATACAGTACGTGGTGCTAGTTGTAGTATAGCGGCCTCTTGTGAACTGTCACTGAGGTCCCCACTGGGCGCCGTCATCTTGTTTGTTCCTTGTGGGCTATGGTACATGTAAAGACGTGCGTAGGTCGACTACTAATAGTCTTAGTAAATTCGGAAAAAATATGACCGCCATTGTGAATTGCTGATAATTGTTTTATTCAGCAATACATGCACAGAGATATATACACACCTGACAGAGTGTCACCCACGGAAGTGGCCAAGCCGCTTAGGAAGCCCAACCAACCGAGGACAATGACGAACTTATTGTCGGTGAAAGGCAGATATCTCGTCAGCACACATACCACCTGAATATCAGCGGTTATACCAGCTGCTATGAAGAACGTATTGACCATCTGACCAGCAAAGGAAGGGATGAAAGGATCCAATGCAAGTCCCACAGCACTAACGGCAGCTGCGATGACCGCAGTCACTTGACACGATGCCAACTTTCTTTTCATCACAAAAGCTGCTAAAGCAGGCCCTGCCATGCTACCAAGGCCAAAGGCCGTACTTAGAAAAGACGCCTGACCGTTCGTAAGCCCTACAGACAGACCGTTGGGTACCATATACACCAAGATCCCGCCATATGAAATGCTGTAGAACATTCTGATGGCTGCCAGAAGCACGAAGTCACAATTTATGAATATCTCAAGACCGAGGGCTGAGACGACAGAATCACGCCACTTCACAGGATCAGGACCTTGAGCGCTTCGCTTCGAGAGCTGGTCCTCGCTTTGCTCTGAGGCCTGGTCTTCGCTTTTCTTCGAGAGCTGGTCCTCGCTGTGCTTTGAGATCTGGTCCTGGCTTTGCTTCGAGATCTGGTCCTCACCTTGCTTCGAAATCTGGTGCTCGCAATGCTTCGACATCTGATCTTCCCTTTGCTCCCAGGTCTGGTCCTCGGTTTCTCTCCGGGCCTGGTACTCGTTTTGATCAGTGGTTTGGTCCTCAGTTGATAGGTCTTGAATAGGGATAGCTGAGTATATTCCCGTGGGTCTTCTCACCAACATACCAGCGCAGATAAGATGGAAACCATAGCCACCAAGTATAACCATTGCACCTCGCCAGCCGTAGGTGTCCAAAAAGACCTGTGTGGCTGGTCCATACAGCAAAAAGCCAATTGGAGCTCCGAGGAGAGACACGAAGATGGCCAAGTCGTACTTCTCGTGGAAGTACAGGGCAAACTCTGCACGCATTATCTCCAAAATGCATCCTGCGCCCGAACCTGTAGGCACGAAAAACACCTTGTCTTGATACTGGTGTATACATGTACGAGTTTTGATGTTTTCCATTGGTATAAGTCCAGCGACATAGAACACGGGATTGTTGAATTTAGACTAAACGGACAGTATTGCTAGGCAGTCCTGCTTTCGATAACTAATTGGTAGAAATCTAAGCATGCATATTTGGACAAAAACGTTTTGGTGGACTCGTTCGGAGTCTAATTTTGAATACCAGGTCAGGCTGCGTTTCAATTACAAGCACACACGAAGTGCGCAAACTCTAAGCTTTCCTTTCCATTGACAACTTGGGCTTTTCTAAATTCTCCTTACCTGCAATTGCTATGATAGTTACAGCTAAGAAGGCGATATGATGCGTTAAAGCCGACAGAGCCACGCCAAGTCCAAAGAGAAAACCGCCAAAGGAGATGACAGGGCGCCCTCCGACTTTCCGAGCTACAACCGAGGCCACGGGTGCTGTCAAGAGAACAGTAATGTGTAAATATTAATTGGCTTGTCGATTTAAAGGCTACTTCCCTTCATTTACGTCAAGTTAATCTTGTTGTAACATGTTTTACTACACCTCATAAATATTCATGATCAAATTAGCGCACGTCATTGGCCGATTCCACCGCACGTCTGGGAAGTAAAAATAATACTTGCCCAGGTGATGCCATCCCGGCGGTAGGTTTTTTTTGGTCTGTGGCACGAAATCTTTACGGAACTAGTCTGTTGTTGTTAGTACTTGTAACTACTGCAGTAAAGACACATTAAAGAGTGTTGGCACCACACTACTTCATTGACTGACGAACTTGAATAAATTGTGCTGAATAAAGATGCAAAATCTGCGAAGGCCGTTATCGACAAGGCAGTGAGGCTACTGAAATGGCAGAGGCTACCTAATATATGAGGTGTAGTAAAACAAATACAGCATGGTTTATTTCTGGAAAATGGTGGGAATTACTGGTCCCTTCGCGTCGGGAGGTGATCAAGCTGACCTACACCTCGTGACCAGTAATTCCCATTACTCACCCTCGAACCATGCTGCATTTGTATAATACCGCATTTACGGTTAGCAGCCGGCAAAACCAGGAGCATGGGATCGCTAGCTCACATTGAAGGGGGGGGGGGGGGTGGAGGTAGGTGTGACAACAAAAAGTATACAGGATGCTTTTAGGATCGCGGTCACCCGGCTTCCATGAACTAGAAAAATGGTGGGGGAGGGTTGGCTTAAAACAATCTTCCTATAGGCTGTGCTGTTCAAAGCGGACGATCACGGGCACTATCGGAAAATAGGTGGCGCTCTTCTTCCCGGCACTTTTGCCGACGGACACACGATTTTGCCAGCAGTACAACGATTTTGCCAAACAAAAGTGGCGCCACCTCCCTCTAGCGACGCCCGTGGCGAAAGTCGATAGCCGAAAAAACAATAATTACAATATACATGTTACTTAAAAACGGAAGCATTTTACTACAGACAAACAAATTATGATGGTGTTTAGTGAGGAATGCCAAACTAAAAAAACCCCCAACATCATGACGTCATCGCTTGAGATAGACCGGGAGCTAGGTGGAGTTTAATTAACAATTTGAGCACAAAAGGTTTGATGCTACCAGACCGTTGTCCGTGATGGGGTAGTTCAGAAATGTCCATTCTTAAGTTGCCCTAGGTCGGATGGGGGTCAGGGGACCAAGGTCAAATGTCCAAAATGTCGAGTTTAATTAACATGTCGCGCATTGCCGTTTTTAGATTAACGTGTAGAGATTGACCCCGTGATACCAAAAATTTTGAACAGGAAAAAGTCGGATAAAGTTACTTAAGAATGATCTTTAAAAAGATTGTATTTATATATTTCATATACATATACTGTAGGCCTATACAAATGTACAGGTACATGTTTATATCCTGGTCAATAGTGGAGCTGCTTAGGCCCGTTATTTTTGCCCAAACCGTGCCCGAATTTGTGATAAGAGCATGAAAATCGGCGTGCAGAGCCAAAATGGTCTGAGAATCGTTAGAGGTGGACCCACCTTGAAACCTGCCGATTCGGGGGCGGAGCTTGATTTTTAAACAAGGGGTTGAAAGGAATCAAAACTCAGAAGAACTGTATTAAACATTCATTTTGCTTCTTTTTCCTTGCCTTGAAATAATTTTGGACATGACATAAAACATTCTAGTATTTTACAAACCAATTTGTGGGCTTGGCCGAAATGTGTAAAGGGGTGGCGTATACGAATGGTTTGATCCAATCGTGACAAATATCGTGCATTTTCGTGGCAAAACCACGAAAAAAGGGGTGCACAAAATAAAAAAAACTGTATGTGCAGTATTCAGTGTTCTTGATATGTTCTTTATAACCTAGCAGTCTAAACTAGCTCAGTATTCCTTATGCACAATGTAAACTGATGACATTATCAAACCGGAAATAACGAGTGAACAAATGTGACTTGAAATCTATTTATCCCTAAATGCATTTGTTGAAAAATAAGAATGGCTTAAAACGGAATTTAAAAAAAAAAAATTTTCCTGTTTTTTTTTTTACATAAACATATTTACGACTGAATTAGACAATGTCAAATAAAATAGTTAAGCGCCCCATCACCCTGCGTTTGTTACGATAAGTGATAAATACGATAAGTGATAACTACATAACCATGTTAACGCCGAGCGCAGTATCTTTAGCTTTAAAAATGAACTATGAAATGTCGCATTTGTTTTATCGGTTCGGGACCACAACTCTTTTAAAACTTGTTAATGCAAACCTCATTAAAAACGGTGATTTCCTCGAAAAAGGTGTCATATTTGACGTTTATTTCACGGATAAATACTTCATCTATTACAACAAAACTGCTTGTAACAATACCATCTGTTATATCCTGAAGTATTTATTTTGAAACAATTTTGGAACAAGTATATCTTACATAAATTGAAGGAGTGGTATTGCACAGTTTTATGAATATTTCTGTTTTAGATGTCAGGTAGAAAAACCGACAAAAAGACACGTACACCTGCAGGGAACATTTGCGATTAACATGCCAACGGGCATTAAGGCCCGTTATCACGCGTCCAACCAATTAAGGCAAGTCCGTTCAGTGCATTTTGTACTAGAGCTCAGAACAGTCGTTCATCCTTGTGTGTAGGATCCGCGCTTCCATCCACACAGCCGTTAAATAGTTACGTTAACTTAGGATGCGTAATGCAATTGCAGTCAATGGCCGTGTCACGCACAGAGCCCTGTTTGACCTCAGTTTCTTGTCCCGAGGTCACGCACGCATGGCCCAAAAGCATACGCGAGGTTTTACGAGACTGTATTCGAGACTACAGGAAAACACGAAAAGTACCTAGATACATGCACTGTTTGGCCAAGATGGCTAGGTTAGTGAAAAGTTGAAATCGTGTGCTTTATTTTGATATCAAATATAACTGCTTTTGACAAAAATAAAGTGTTGTTATGACGTATCAAACAAAATTCATACTTTGTAGCAATAAAAGTGAGGGCCGATGGTTTTTAGGTGTGCATTCGATTCTTAAAAGAAAAGGCAAAATTCATTAGATAGATGATAGTCTACGCTTCATTTCATGTGAAACACGTGCAGGAGACTTTTATATTGGTGGTCCAAATCGCCGGTTGAAAAATGAAGACTTTTGCGAGATTTTATGATTCGCAATCACGAATAGGAAATTGTGAATAGCACGTGTGAACTTATGAATATTAAGCAGGCCATCTCGAGCTCGACCAATCAGTGGGCATATGGGGTCACTGGGTCTTACTGTGTCTGGGTTCCTTGCTCTGTGCTTTTACAATGGCGACGATCTTTTCGCGTTGTGAAAAATGGAAGTTGTTGGAAACATCAGGTGTACATCGAATTCTTAAAAAATTAACGACATCACGTTCACGAGATTTTTTTTTGTAGACAAAGGCTCATTCTTTTCTTTGATTACCTCAACATTCGGGAGACTTTCGTCGTTGTCGAGAAAAAGCTGAAATTTCATCACGTAATTTTTAATCGATTTGTCCGTGAAACATCATAGTCAAAATGCATCGAAATCCTTTTTTTTTGGAGAAAAAATTACCTTGACAAATGTATGAAGTAGGTCTTTAACTACCTAAACCAGCTTTGTTTGTGTGCATCGGTTGTGGTTTGCCATGAAAATTTTCTGAAGCCCTTTTTACGGCCATCGTTCGCTGGTCTCACGTTGCTGTCAGGTGTGTGGACGAGAAAACAAGGGAGCTACGCGTGACACGGTAACTGACTGATTGGTTATAATACGAAGTATGCTGGCAAAAAACCCCCAATACGCGACCGGGTGCGCTAGCAATAGTGCAAAACGTTGCGCTATAGGGCTCGCTCAATGACGGCCATCTCTGTGGGAGAACTACAACTGCGTATTTTATGCAATCAAGCACGCATTGCGCAGTGTTGAAAATGTTCCAAACACGCGCTCTTTTTGCTCGAAATGTGTTCGAAATACACTGTAAAAATGGTGCTTAGGATTTAAACACATTTCTAAACACTTATTCTGTACCCACTTTTTCCACACGTTTAGCATCATGACATGTTTAGATGTCCTTTTTCTGTGACACGCATTATCCGTTTGACATGTTCAATGAATAATATGTTTAGCATTTAAAACACCTTCCTAAGCGCATTTAGATATACAATCCTAAGCACATGTCCAAAACGTAAACACGTTAAGTTTCACAACATTAAAAAGTGGTAAACGTTTAGAATTGAAACACATTTCTAAACGTTTTAAACTCTAAACACGTTCTGATGTGTTTAAATGCTAAACACTGTTTTTACAGTGTACGACGCAGCCGATGCGCGTTATGCAAGTTGACGCGCAAAATGCCGATGCACGTGGATGGTCTGTAGGAAATGACGTCATTTGAACGAGACCTATTGAAAGAGCCTAATGCCGTGTGCTCCTTTCAACATAGGCCTACCCGCACTCTGTTACAATTCAAGACACGTACAAAAATGGATGACTACCCTGAAACGCCCCTGCTCAAAAACCTTGCTCAACGTCAAGATACGGAAGGGATGGTTCCAAGTACCCTTCAAATTAAAGGGAATATACAACATTTGCAAACATCGAAAAATAAAACTACCAAGTTTTTGCGAAATACCTTAATAGGATGTTGGTAAATGACAGTCTAAAGCATCTTGTAAAATTATGGCACCTGGTATACTGTCATTTTCAAGAAAAGTGGTATTTTTGTATCAATTTCCAACGCTGATCGGCCGATCAGCGTTGGAAACAACTGGCTTTTTTTCCAAATACTGGCCCCAATTGACCATCGCACTTGTTTGCAATCGATTACAAACCTATGAACGGGTACGAGCCAGCTAGACTGGTTCCCTGACTTTACAATTCCCCAATGTATGTAAACTTCTCTGTTTCTTCTAATATGGAGTCAGGGAACCAGACTACAGGAAAATGATCGTTTTTCTTGGTTTTTATAGCATTTTCGAACCCAAAACCTCAAAAAAGTCAGTGTAGCTATATTTGCTATATATTTCCAACCCCCCAATTCCATCAATTTCTGAAAATTACAGCAAAAGCAAATGATGTATATTCCCTTTAACTATCCCTCCAGAAGTGATATCGTTCGGAAGAACATGAAGGCGGTTTAAAAATAAAAAGTATGCCCGCAGGCATACAAATTTGTACCTACGTGAATCAATTTACGTGAGCAACATAAAATGTGCATTCGTTTTCTCTGTGTTTTAAAAATGTAGTAACTGAGCTGAGACTTCATAAAATTAGATGCACCCAACTGAAGGTTTTGAGAAATTTTAAGTAGCTTAAAAAGTGGGCCGTTATGCTGTACAAGCCTTATTGAAAAGTTTACATGTAAATGGCGGCTCATACGTATAGGCTATGATAAGACTTTAGTGCAAACCATAGTCATGTAACTCTATATGGTACGAACAGATGTTTTGTTCCATCCAGTGGTTGATTATGTTACACAATAATCATGCTCGACATATGGCGCATTATATAAATATCTGATGGCTCAGAAGCTCCTTTTACTAGTCTGGTTCCTTGATCTGACGATCACCTCACGCGTCTTAATCGACCTTAGGTCTGGTAACATTTAAACGTAGAACACGACGCAGCAAATTAAGCCATGCGGGGGCATATTCGGGGCACAAATTAAAATCGGATACCGGGTATTTTTTTTGGCATTAATCATTGACCTTCGTTAATGATAGCCTTCGTGGTCTTATGATTCAAACTTGCCAGGACTGATGTACAAACATGACATGCATTTTGTTGGTAAATAAAACCAGCTTATCCTTATCACGAATACCCAAGCTATCTCGAACATATCGGGGTATCAACGAAAACGAAAAAGGCAGGATCCTAAATGCACGGGTATTTTTTTTGGTCACATGTCTGTCACGCCTACCTGACCCACCAATATTTGTCAGAATAGTTAAAAAAAAAAATGAGTCTTGAACTATAGTTAATTTGCTTCCGGATTATCACAATGCTTTCGCCATTGACGGGGCTATCGTGATACAATTGTAAGCTTGCTTGCATAGGTTACTCGTTTGCTTACTCAGAATGAACTGCACTCCCAGGTGTAGGGAATTAATGGAGCCGATGATCCACAGTCCCGTATCGAAGTCATCCTTCATGGCCGTGATGAGAACACCGAAAGCCTTCAAGCTCCCAATGACGATGAACTCTGCTACACAGGCCGCAAATACAACAACCCAGCCCCAGCCTCCTTCCTGGTATACATGTTTCTTGGGGGACGCCATCATGAATCTCCAAGATATGTTGAAAGTTATACACACGCAGTTTGATATGGCATTTCAGAAGAGTTTCAGTGTATAGTGTAACTGATGAACTTTTTGTCTTTGTGAAATGGCCCACAGAGCACAATACAACTGATAGGCCTCCCTATATTCAATAGCATGCATTGATAATATGCCCAGTGGAATATGTTTGTATTGAATGGACCTTGGAATACAGACAGACAATAGATAGCATAAACATCTGTGGTTTACCTGTGTCGCCATATTAATTTTCTCGTGGCATTGAGCAGTACCTTGACCTGTACATGTACATAATTTACTGCCTGCAATTATTTTTTATGCCATCAAATTTTTGGCTGTTTCGGCATCCAACCGAAACAGCCTTTGTTTATTGTTATTTTATGGTGATTGTGAAGTTTAGGACACCTTTCCCCACGGATAAACACATTCTACGTGTAAGTTTTTTGTTATGCCACATTCTGAACAAACAGTGTAGTGTGATTGTGAAGCCGGATTGAGCTCAATAAAAGTACGAATTGAATACGAAAATGATTTGTCTCCAGAGTGTTTTATTCGACCAGTTCTTGACCATGCTGCTTTCCCATTTCGGTACTATTTAGCATTTTGGTACTATTTAGCATTTTTGTGTCCTCATCATACATTGGTGTCCTCCTTAATTTGCCTTGGTCCTTATATCATTTGCCTTGGTGCAATTTCCCCATTCCTTTGTGCTCCTTGGTACACAAATTTGAGGAGGTGCGGCAATAGAGGGCGCTGTTGTAGATTCTGTTTTAATTTGAAGGGAAAAAAAAGGTTGACGCGCATGATTAAAATTGACGCGCGCACTGACCAGAAACCGAGTATATTTTTTTGCCTTATTGTGAAGCCGGATTGAACTCAATAAAAGTACGAATTGAATATGAAAATGATTTGTCTCCAGAGCGTTTTATTCTCGGTTTTCGACCATGCTGCTATCCCATATTGTGCCCCCTAATCTTGCACTAGAGGTCAATCTAATTTGCATAGGTCTCATTTGCATACCACTGTAAACATTGCATGTAATGCATATACATGTATTATCAGGACACTACATCTCCCCCTTTCTTTAGATTTAAACAAACACTGTTAATTCTTGTGAAACAAAGAGATTTGAATAAGCCAAGGTGAACATTCAAGATATCCGGGGTGTGACAATATCAGAAGTCAAACTATTTCTGGAAGAACACTCAGTTGACAAAATTATCCTCTAACACCAACTATGTCATTTTCCAGAGAAATTCTGATCACTTGCAATTTTAGTATGAAATGTGACCGCCAGAATGGCCTTGAGTTAAACAACCTGTTTAAAACCATTCTAAGAGAAAATTTACTTATTCTGTTGTAAATGGAAGTTCTGTGCTCCAAGGATCCTAGAATGTATTGAACATGTCCTTTTTTCAGTTTAATTCAATCACTTGAGTTTAAATGTTAATGAACACTTACATAACATGCTTTAAGTGAAACGTGCTACCCGATATTGACGACAAAACTTAAATAGGCCTGTGCACGGAGGACATTAGAATGAAAGTCATGAAAAACAAGCATAAAACAGTAAGATGAATAAAAATGGCAACATCGATTATAAAAAAGGATGAAGCTCATTGCAACATTTTCCCTCTCTGCATCATTCCATAGCATTTCAAGTTACTTTTAAATTAGGCAATCGCGATATAACAAAAATTGCAAAATTGCAATATGGAAGTGTAAAAAGCTTTCACATCTACTCTTTTTGCAAGAATTTCCTGTAAATACCCCGTTCTGAATGCTCTCCAACAGAGCTTACAATTCGTCACTTACATGTCCCCTAGAAATGAGGGTTTTACATGTACTCTTTTTGGCAAGAATTTTCTGTACACACACCAGTGTTGATATTCTAAGGTTGATGCTCCACCGAGAGTGCTCTTAAAACGACACGTGTGTGCCCTTGAAATGTTAACAAAGCCGTATCGAAAATTGTTGATTCGTAGATAACGGTTGATTATTGAAATAATGTGTACATGGGCTAAACTCTATATGTAACCCTAACAGTCCTGAATCCTCCAATTTCAATATAGTTTTGCACACCCCTAGGGAGTTAACCCTAACGATCCCCAACCAGCCAAACTCCAGCACCAGGGTTTGTTGGAATTTGTAAGGATAAGCTGCTCTAGTAAACTGACTGTGTTTGTCTTGGGATTAGGCATACCACAAATAAGTCCAACTGTATGTGCAGAGTTTATTATAATTTTGTTGGGATTTGCAAGGATGAGGAAGGTTCCTATGGTAAATCACCATAGGGAGTTCAATTAATCAACATTTATTTCCATAATGCCAAAAAGAAAACAAGACAATGTAACAAAATAAATTAATAAGTAATATAATTAAAGTAATATTATTCTAAATATACATGGAAATATCTAAGCAAGAAAGGACCATAAAAAAAAGCAATGATGGGGGCATCTTCCGATTCCGGGGGCTTATATGGCGATGCCTTGACAAAACAAAATCGAAATGACAACTTGACAAATACAGAGACATACAAACAATCGGACAAACGCAAATATAATACACATGGGATTAAAACATACTGGATATAATTATATATGGATGCAACAAAAACGATAATGCCATAATCACATTTTCGTGCAACTACATGCAGTCAAAATCAAAACTATACAAAAAAGTTCAGGTAAACACAAGAAAGTGAACAAAAACGAATTGATCACGAAACAAAAAGAACGAACAAGTAGGCAGCCAAATCAAAATGTTAAACAAGATAAACAAGATGAACAATCAAATGGCAAAAAAAAATTACACAAAGAAAATAAACTGTTAAGAGACATTCAAGCAATAGTGAACATATAAACATGCCAGTAAACAAAACAAAAAAAATAGACATGAAAACAGTATACCTTAAAGAATAACGAGCATATCACATAAAGTAATTATTACAAGGGGACTATATAAGTAGTATAATAGAAGAAGAAAAGAAATAATTGTAAGTAGGAGGGAGACTATGATACGTAGCGGGAGATGAGATATTCTTTGTACCCTGATTTGTACCCCGAGTTACGTGTCGCGTTCCTGAAATCTGCGTTTAATAATCTACTATGAAGTTTAATGTAAACATAACTATACATTGTGCACTAAAAGAATGGTCTGACCACTTCCTCGAATTCTTTATTGAAGGATTAATTTATGCGTTCGTACGTCCCTGAAATGTGTCGTTACTACCAACATTTGTTTTATCGAGTCTCGGGTTTTTAGAAGATAATTTAGCTAGCTCTTGAATGTCTTATCTTGTAGGGACGATGGTAAGAAGAACAATTATGGTGAACTATTACATTGATGTATCTTACCTTTTCTGACGACCTGCAGTCTTTTCACTTGGAACTTGTGATATGTGCTGGACGCGACGTTCAGTGGTTCTGCTGATAGTTTCAGATGGTAAAATTGACAGAAACACTGACAATCAAAGCAGTTTATGAAAATTGAACAGTGATCGCGGGGCTATGCAAATTTGAACTATCAACAACTTTATCATCCGTGGTAGAGAGGTACAATTTTGGTCTTTAAATTTTTACAGGAGATACTCGGAGTCTGGATGATTTATGATGAACAGTTTAAACTCAAGTCTTTGGTTATATGAATTTTTTCGTTGCAAAATACGTCCGTAAAGGGCTAAACACCATATTGATTTTTTTAATATGATGAACAGTTTAAACTCAAGTCTTTGGTTATATGAATTTTTTCGTTGCAAAATACGTCCGTAAAGGGCTAAACACCATATTGATTTTTTCGTTGCAAAATACGTCCGTAAAGGGCTTAACACCATATTGATTTTTTTAATATGATGAACAGTCTGTTGTGAATATATACTGCCTCACAGTCGTGTTATAATTATGAGTCATATTGTTCCCTTCTTTTGTTCATATAGTTGTACTTGTTCGTCTTGTTTGCACTTGAAGATTTTCTCTTCATCTCCTATAAGGTCACATGTGGAAAACCACCCGAATTGCAAATCCCCCATTGTCCCAAGTCAAGTTGTACACAGCGAATCCAAAGTACACAAATGCTAACGCCCTCCCGTCCAAGCCAGCAGATGCTCATTACAATAACAACCATAAACCGGAACCGTGTAACGGCTGCTATACATTTTCATGACTGAATTTTTTCGTTGCAAAATACGTCCGTAAAGGGCTAAACACCATATTGATTTTTTTTTTTTTGTTCATATTAAAAAAATCAATATGGTGTTTAGCCCTTTACGGACGTATTTTGCAACGAAAAAATTCAGTCATGAAAATGTATAGCAGCCGTTACACGGTTCCGGTTTATGGTTGTTATTGTAATGAGCATCTGCTGGCTTGGACGGGAGGGCGTTAGCATTTGTGTACTTTGGATTCGCTGTGTACAACTTGACTTGGGACAATGGGGGATTTGCAATTCGGGTGGTTTTCCACATGTGACCTTATAGGAGATGAAGAGAAAATGTTCAAGTGCAAACAAAACGAAAATGTACAACTATATGAACAAAAGAAGGGAACAATATGACTCATAATTATAACACGACTGTGAGGCAGTATATATTCACAACAGAACAATTAATAGACCCCACAATCGACCCCACAAGTCAGTCTTTATAGAAATAATATATCTGCCCGTAAAAAAAATGCTACGGAGATGGAGAGTTCAATGGGAAGAAAGGAAAACAAGATATGGGAAACAGAATGTCTTCCAACAGGTATTTTGTCATGAGTACGAACACCTGTATGACACGTACGAGTAGGCCTATATACAGGCCTATATAAGACATTTTTTATCACGAGTACGACTACGATGCACTTTTCCACGAGTGTGTCGGAGTCTTATGTAGCACTCGTACCAACAATTAGGTACTCAGGGCGCTGGGAAGCACGTCTATTTGTAAAGACAGGTTAATTAAGTTCATGACAAATATGAGACCCATTATGTAGCACCTTTATAAATGGCATGCCGCGGCGCATATTGCAGCCACTGCCAGAAACACCGGGGAAAACCCCTTCTCTTACCGATAAGCGTTATTTTAGATGCTTGCAAGTAAAAGTAGGTCTACATTTCCACAAAATTAACTTTCCGAGAACGATTCGGAAGTACGACAACGAGCCTGGACATATCTGTTGAAATTAGTACATGTATGTCAGGCATGCAACTTTTACTCGGATCAGAACTTTAAAACTGTGGTTGTGTTTAAAACTCCGTAACTTAAAAAGTACATGAGTGATTTGAATGATTTTTGTACTAAATGAAAACTAATGAATTGGGATTTTATATCCTAGATTTTGAGAGTGCTACATGAAGAACCTCACTAAAACAATGGTCCCGACATTTGGGTTTCGTTTTTTTTTACTCACCCTGTACAATTGTCCTCGCGAGTTTATGCATGTAACTCTGTCCCCATTGTCCTCCAAGCAAATAAATTCCCATAAACATCTTGCATCTCCATACTTTTACAATCTTTTAAAATGCTCTCACAGTTATTCAGCCTGCACAGAAAATGATGACCATCATGTCGAGAAATTCTCACCCAAAGAAAACGACCCCTAAAACGAGTGATGTTTCCTAAAGTGGAAAAGCAGCCATCTTGAAAAAAATCCCTCCGCAACATTATGGCAAAATAGCGACACTTTTGGGCCCAATTGCATCCAAAATGCTCGGCATTGGAGGGGGGGGGGGGTACCATTTTCCAACGTGGGCGCTGATCAAAACCAACGATTAGCACACTATTGCAAAATATACATGTATGCCACTTTTCAGGGCGACACACTTGCGAAATTAAAAATGGCACTCGTAAGGGCTGCTGGAACGAATAAAGACACTATTTTCTTGCAAAAAAAAATAAAATAAATAGTCATACACTCAGCGGGTCGATCGTGATTAGATTGACAACTATTTTCATGTTGACGAGCTTCACAATAGCGTGCTGCATTAAGAGTACTTGGCGCTTTTAGTTCCGACGTGTATTATTTGTCTCTACGATTTTTAGAAAGATGGGTGCACTCTGCAGTTTACACTTTAACCTTGATTAAAACAATTTGAAACCTAGTTGCCAGTCAGCATTTAGATCCTTGCAACAACTAAAGCACCCTACATGATTTAACAATCAATTGTTTCCAGGCTATGGAGCATGAGCAAGTACAGGTAGTGTGTTTGTATATCTCCGTAAAGTATTTTGTTGAGCATATAATCCTTCTGGTTAAATTTTGCGTAATATATAAACTTCCTTAATCCATTGGTTCTAGTCATACCTAAGGTTATAGTCAGTCTGTAAATATTAAGGGCAACATATCAAAGGTCCTCCCACTGAACGTTGGTGTTCCGCAGGGGTCGATTTTAGGTCCACTTGTATTCATTATTAACACCAGTGATGTACCGTCTTGTATCCCCCAAAAACTGTAATGTTTTTATGTATGCAGATGAGTCCACTTAACTTGTAGCTCCTCCAATGTTAAAATATAAAGGAATTTGAATACAGCAGCTCAATTTGTGCTTAAGAAACAGACTTGAATTAAATGGCAACAAAACAAAATGAATGTTGGTTCAAGGCAGAGAATCTCCAATACAGAATTGAACATGTACATTGCTGATAATCGTATATTTCAAAGCAAAGCCTAGTAAATGTTTGGGAGTTATTATTGCCGAAACATTAAGTTGGGGCCCACACGTTGAATACGTAATAAAAAACAGTTTCGTCTAAACTGGGTATGTTAAACTTAATTAAAGACTATTATACACAAAGCAGCCTACACATCTCACGACAATATTCTCAACAAATGTGTGTGTTTTGTTTATGTAAATATAGTGCAATACTTGTTCGATGGATGAGGTCACGTGAGCTTAGATCTCACGCTACGACGAATTATATTGATATTAACTACGAAATATTTACGGCTGTAAATACGGTGATGTTTTATGTACATCTGCATGTTTTCTTATCAGTTAATATTAATCAAGTTAGTTTCGTTTTTTATGACAACCTCTTCGATACATAACAGATGTTTGCAATTGTTATCATTGCCCTACCTTTGTAAATGTATACGTTATTAGAAATAGAGAATAATTAAGAGAAGAACTACCAAAACTAATAAAGATATACTTTAGCTTTAAAATACAAATGAAATATAAAAAAAATGGGGGGAAAACAGATTTGTCCTTATGTGACGTCATCGGCAAAGTAACAACCATCCTGTCAGAGCAGTGTCCAGAACTGTTCACAAAACGCTCAATGCATTTCTTTTTGCAGGGCCGGCAAGTTTTGTGCCAATTTGCCGATGACGTCACATTAAGTTTAATAGGTGTTTTGTAAGCACGGCACTCTGACTGATTTGTTTCGTGCCCCTAGTCAAATAAAAATAATGTTCACAAAAACAAAGAACGCTCGAAAATTGTAACAATTTTCCCTGTTTCCATTTCTGTAAACTTAAGGAGCTATAATGCATGACTTTCCTTTGACCACTCGCGGTAACGAGCGCGGCAAAGGTCCAACAGAAAAAGTAATCCAGTGGCTACCATAGCGGCGCTATACAAGAAAAAGGTCCCGTAGAAGCTCTCTGTGACGTCATAAAGCAAGCCTAGAGAGAACGAAAATAAAAGAAATGCAAGTTTATGTCTTATTGTTATGAGCAGAGAATATAAATGAGTCAGTTAACATTGCTAATGCATTAGGAAGGAACACTAGAGAAGAGAAAAAAATTTCAGTAAGTTCTGAAGGAACCTATACAGTACGTGGTGTTAGTTGTAGTATAGCGCCCTCTTGTGAACTGTCACTGAAGTCCCCACTGGGCGACGTCATCTTGTTTGTTCCTTGTGGGCTATGGTACGTGTAAAGACGTGCGTAGGTCGACTATTAATAGTCTTAGTAAATTCGGAAAAAAAATATGACCGCCATTGTAAATTGCTGGTACATGTAATTGTTTTATTCAGCAATACATGTACAAAGATATATACACACCTGACAGAGTGTCACCCACGGAAGTGGCCAAGCCGCCCAGGAAGCCCAACCAACCCAAGACGATGACGAACTTATCGACTGTGAAAGGCAGATATCTCGTCAGCACACATACCACCTGAATAACAGCGGCTATACCAGCTGCTACGAAGAACGTATTGACCATCTGCCCAGCGAAGGAAGGGATGAAAGGATCCAATGCAAGTCCCACAGCACTAACAGCAGCTGCGATGATCGCAGTCACTTGACACGATGCCAACTTTCTTTTCAACACAAAAAACGCTAAAGCAGGCCCTGCCATGCTACCAAGGCCAAAGGCCGTACTTAGGAAAGACGCCTGACCGTTCGTAAGCCCTACAGACAGACCGTTGGGTACCATATACACCAATATCCCGCCAAATGAAATGCTGTAGAACATTCTGATGGCTGCCAGCAGCACAAAGTCAAAATTTATGAATATCTCAAGACCGAGGGCTGAGACGACAGAATCACGCCACTTCACAGGATCAGGACCTTGAGTGCTTCGCTTCGAGAGCTGGTCCTCGCTTTGCTCTGAGGTCTGGTCTTCGCTTTTCTTCGAGAGCTGGTCCTCGCTGTGCTCTGAGATCTGGTTCTGGCTTTGCTTCGAGATCTGGTCCTCACCTTGCTTCGAAATCTGGTGCTCGCAATGCTTCGACATCTGATCTTCGCTTTGCTCCCACGTCTGGTCCTCGGTTTCTCTCCGTGCCTGGTACTCGTTTTGATCAGTGGTTTGGTCCTCAGTTGTTAAGTCTTGAATAGGGATAGCTTTGTATATTCCCGTAGGTCTTCTCACCAACATACCAGCGCAGATAAGATGGATACCAAAGCCACCAAGTATAACCATTGCACCTCGCCAGCCGTAGGTGTCCAAAAGGACCTGTGTGGCTGGTCCATACAGCAAAAAGCCAATTGGAGCCCCGAGGAGAGACACGAAGATGGCCAAGTCGTACTTCTCGTGGAAGTACAGGGCAAACTCTGCACGCACTATCTCCAAAATGCATCCTGCGCCCGAACCTGTAGGCACGAAAAACACCTTGTCTTGATACTGGTGTATACATGTACGAGTTTTGATGTTTTTCATTTTGGTATAAGTCCGTCGACATAGAACACGGGATTGTTGAAGTTAGACTAAACGGACAGTGTGGCTAGGCAGGCCTGCTTTCGATAATTAATTGGTAGAAATCTAAGCATGCATATTTGGACAAAAACGTTTTGCTGGACTCGTTCGGAGTCTAACTGCAAATGTATGTAAGCATACGTAGGCCTAATTTTGAATACCAGGTCAGGCTGCGTTTCAATTACAAGCACACACGAAGTGCGCAAACTCTAAGCTTTCCATTCCATTGACAACTTGGGCTTTTCTAAATTCTCCTTACCTGCAATTGCTATGATAGTTACAGCTAAGAAGGCGATATGATGCGTTAAAGCCGACAGAACCACGCCAAGTCCAAAGAGAAAACCGCCAAAGGAGATGACAGGGCGCCCTCCGACTTTCCGAGCTACAACCGAGGCCACGGGTGCTGTCAAGAGAACAGTAATGTGTAAATATTAATTGGCTTGTCGATTTAAAGGCTACTTCCCTTCATTTACGTCAAGTTAATCTTGTTGTAACATGTTTTACTACACCTCATAAATATTCATGATCAAATTAGCGCACGTCATTGGCCGATTCCACCGCACGTCTGGGAAGTAAAAATAATACGTGCCCAGGTGATGTCATCCCGGCGGTAGTTTTTTTTTGGTAGAACCAAAATTTTCCTCTGGAACCCGCCTCGTAGAACATGTAGTCTGTGGCATGAAATCTTTACGAAACTAGTCTGTTGTTGTTAGTACTTGTAACTACTGCAGTAAAGACACATTAAAGAGTGTTGGCACCAGACTACCTCATTGACTGACGAACTTGAATAAATTGTGCTGAATAAAGTACAAAATCTGCAAAGGCCGTTTTCGACAAGGCAGTGAGGCTACTGAAATGGCAGAGGCTACCTAATATATGTGGTGTAGTAAAACAAATACAGCATGGATTATTTCTGGAAAATGCTGGGAATTACTGGTCCCTTCGCGTCGGGAGGTGATCAAGTTGACCTACACCTCGGGACCAGTAATTCCCATTACTCCCCCTCGAACCATGCTGCATTTGTACAATACCGCATTTACGGTTAGCAGCCGGCAAAACCAGGAGCATGGGATCGCTAGCTCACATTGAAGGGGGGGGGGTGGAGGTAGGTGTGACAACAAAAGGTATACAGGATGTTTTTAGGATCGCGGTCACCCGGCTTCCATGAAATAGAAAAATGGTGGGGGAGGGTTGGCTTAAAACAATCTTCCTATAGGCTGTGCTGTTCAAAGCGGACGATCACGGGCACTATCGGAAAATAGGTGGCGCTCTTCTTCCCGGCACTTTTGCCGACGGACACACGATTTTGCCAGCAGTACAACGATTTTGCCAAACAAAAGTGGCGCCACCTCCCTCTAGCGACGCCCGTGGCGAAAGTCGATAGCCGAAAAAACAATAATTACAATATACATGTTACTTAAAAACGGAAGCATTTTACTACAGACAAACAAATTATGATGGTGTTTAGTGAGGAATGCCGAACTAAAAAAAACCCCAGCATGATGACGTCATCGCTTGAGATAGACCGAAAGCTAGGTGGAGTTTAATTAACAATTTGAGCACAAAAAAAGGTTTGATGCTACCAGACCATTGTCCGTGATGGGGTAGTTCAGAAATGTCCATTCTTAAGTTGCCCTAGGTCGGATGGGGGTCAGGGGACCAAGGTCAAATGTCCAAAATGTCGAGTTTAATTAACATGTCGCGCATTGCCGTTTTTGGATTAACGTGTTGAGATTGACCCCATGATACCAAAAATGCTACTTGAGAACAGGATAAAGTCGGATAAAGTTACTTAAGAATGATCTTTAAAAAGATTGTATTATTATTAGGCCTATACAAAATGTACACGTATATATCCTGGTCAATAGTGGAGCTGCTAAGGCCCTTTATTTTTGCCTAAACCGTGCCCAAATTTGTGATAAGAGCATGAAAATCGGCGTGCAGAGCCAAAACGGTCTGAGAATCGTTAAAGGTGGAACCCACCTTGAAACCTGCCGATTTGGGGGCGGAGCTTGATTTTTAAACAAGGGATTGAAAGGAATCAAAACTCAGAAGAATTGTATTAAACATTCATTTTCCTTCTTTTTCCTTGCCTTGAAATAAGTTTGGACATGACATAAAACATTCTAGCATTTTACTTACCTTATATTTTCAGCCCAATTTGTGGGCTTGGCCAAAATGTGTGAATGTATACGAATGGTTTGATCCAATTGTGACAAATATCGTGCATTTTCGTGGCAAAACCACGAAAAAAGGGGTGCACAAAATAAAAAAAAATTGTATGTGCAGTATTCAGTGTTCTTTATATGTTCTTTATATGCTTTCAAAATGTTGACGTCACCATGACGTCATCACATATCAAATTACATGTACTAGCGATTTAAGTCAACATTTTTGATACAAAACCGCTTGACCTTTACTTCCGGGGTTACCGGAAGTTCAATGATAAATGAACATAACTTCAAAACGGAAGCATATTTTACTACAGTAATACTAATTAAGAAAAACCTTAGTGAAAAATCATGAAATGTTATAATGACGTCCTCCTCCGAAATGACGCCCTATAGCGGCAGGTCCAAGAAAGTTGGTTTTAAACAGTTGAATTTAAAAACGTTGGTCAAATTTTACCAAATTGCCCATGAACATTGTTCGGACGACCACATTTTACTTAGCGAAGTTTTATAATGATTAATTATCTGCAGACCGGAAGTTTTTTTAAGGGAGACTTGTAAATGATCAATGTTTTGCATTTTTTTTAAAATTAAAACTCATTGTTCGATACCTATTTGGGCTCATTGTTGCCGAAATAATGATGTCAGCTTCATTATTTACCATGATCGACCTTTTACCGTGACGACATCAAACAGGTGTAATTAATATTTACACATATCCTTTCGTGCTATTTTTATATTTCCTGAAGTTCTCTTTACTTTATGTAGCATAACCTGCCAGTCTAAACTAGCTCAGTATTCCTTATGCACAATGTAAACTGATGACATTATCAAACCGGAAATAACGAGTGAATAAAATGTGACTTGAAATCTATTTATCCCTAAATGCATTTGTTGCAAAATAAGAATGGCTTAAAACGGAATTTAAAAAAAATAAATATTTTTCCTGTTTTTTTTTTACATAAACATATTTACGACTGAATTAGACAATGTCAAATAAAATAGTTAAGCGCCCCATCACCCTGCGTTTGTTACGATAAGTGATAAATACGATAAGTGATAACTACATAACCATGTTAACGCCGAGCGCAGTATCTTTAGCTTTAAAAATGAACTATGAAATGTCGCATTTGTTTTATCGGTTCGGGACCACAACTCTTTTAAAACTTGTTAATGCAAACCTCATTAAAAACGGTGATTTCCTCGAAAAAGGTGTCATATTTGACGTTTATTTCACGGATAAATACTTCATCTATTACGACAAAACTGCTTGTAACAATACCATCTGTTATATCCTGAAGTATTTATTTTGAAACAATTTTGGAACAAGTATATCTTACATAAATGGAAGGAGTGGTATTGCACAGTTTTATGAATATTTCTGTTTTAGATGTCAGGTAGAAAAACCGACAAAATGACACGTACACCTGCAGGGAACATTTGCGATTAACATGCCAACGGGCATTAAGGCCCGTTATCACGCGTCCAACCAATTAAGGCAAGTCCGTTCAGTGCATTTTGTACTAGAGCTCAGAACAGTCGTTCATCCTTGTGTGTAGGATCCGCGCTTCCATCCACACAGCCGTTAAATAGTTACGTTAACTTAGGATGCGTAATGCAATTGCAGTCAATGGCCGTGTCACGCACAGAGCCCTGTTTGACCTCAGTTTCTTGTCCCGAGGTCACGCACGCATGGCCCAAAAGCATACGCGAGGTTTTACGAGACTGTATTCGAGACTACAGGAAAACACGAAAAGTACCTAGATACATGCACTGTTTGGCCAAGATGGCTAGGTTAGTGAAAAGTTGAAATCGTGTGCTTTATTTTGATATCAAATATAACTGCTTTTGACAAAAATAAAGTGTTGTTATGACGTATCAAACAAAATTCATACTTTGTAGCAATAAAAGTGAGGGCCGATGGTTTTTAGGTGTACATTCGATTCTTAAAAGAAAAGGCAAAATTCATTAGATAGATGATAGTCTACGCTTCATTTTCATGTGAAACACGTGCAGGAGACTTTTATATTGGTGGTCCAAATCGCCGGTTGAAAAATGAAGACTTTTGCGAGATTTTATGATTTGCAATCACGAATAGGAAATTGTGAATAGCACGTGTGAACTTATGAATATTAAGCAGGCCATCTCGAGCTCGACCAATCAGTGGGCATATGGGGTCACTGGGTCTTACTGTGTCTGGGTTCCTTGCTCTGTGCTTTTACAATGGCGACGATCTTTTCGCGTTGTGAAAAATGGAAGTTGTTGGAAACATCAGGTGTACATCGAATTCTTAAAAAATTAACGACATCACGTTCACGAGATTTTTTTTTGTAGACGAAGGCTCATTCTTTGCTTTGATTACCTCAACATTCGGGAGACTTTCGTCGTTGTCGAGAAAAAGCTGAAATTTCATCACGTAATTTTTAATCGATTTGTCCGTGAAACATCATAGTCAAAATGCATCGAAATCCTTTTTTTTGGGAGAAAAAATTACCTTGACAAATGTATGAAGTAGGTCTTTAACTACCTAAACCAGCTTTGTTTGTGTGCATCGGTTGTGGTTTGCCATGAAAATTTTCTGAAGCCCTTTTTACGGCCATCGTTCGCTGGTCTCACGTTGCTGTCAGGTGTGTGGACGAGAAAACAAGGGAGCTACGCGTGACACGGTAACTGACTGATTGGTTATAATACGAAGTATGCTGGCAAAAAAACCCCAATACGCGACCGGGTGCGCTAGCAATAGTGCAAAACGTTGCGCTATAGGGCTCGCTCAATGACGGCCATCTCTGTGGGAGAACTACAACTGCGTATTTTATGCAATCAAGCACGCATTGCGCAGTGTTGAAAATGTTCCAAACACGCGCTCTTTTTGCTCGAAATGTGTTCGAAATACACTGTAAAAATGGTGCTTAGGATTTAAACACATTTCTAAACACTTATTCTGTACCCACTTTTTCCACACGTTTAGCATCATGACATGTTTAGATGTCCTTTTTCTGTGACACGCATTATCCGTTTGACATGTTCAATGAATAATATGTTTAGCATTTAAAACACCTTCCTAAGCGCATTTAGATATACAATCCTAAGCACATGTCCAAAACGTAAACACGTTTAGTTTCACAACATTAAAAAGCGGTAAACGTTTAGAATTGAAACACATTTCTAAACGTTTTAAACTCTAAACACGTTCTGATGTGTTTAAATGCTAAACACTGTTTTTACAGTGTACGACGCAGCCGATGCGCGTTATGCAAGTTGACGCGCAAAATGCCGATGCACGTGGATGGTCTGTAGGAAATGACGTCATTTGAACGAGACCTATTGAAAGAGCCTAATGCCGTGTGCTCCTTTCAACATAGGCCTACTCGCACTCTGTTACAATTCAAGACACGTACAAAAATGGATGACTACCCTGAAACGCCCCTGCTCAAAAACCTTGCTCAACGTCAAGATATATATATATATGAAGGGATGGTTCCAAGTACCCTTCAAATTAACTATCCCTCCAGAAGTGATATCGTTCGGAAGAACATGAAGGCGGTTTAAAAATAAAAAGTATGCCCGCAGGCATACAAATTTGTACCTACGTGAATCAATTTACGAGAGCAACATAAAATGTGCATTCGTTTTCTCTGTGTTTTAAAAATGTAGTAACTGAGCTGAGACTTCATAAAATTAGATGCACCCAACTGAAGGTTTTGAGAAATTTTAAGTAGCTTAAAAAAGTGGGATGTTATGCTGTACAAGCCTTATTGAAAAGTTTACATGTAAATGGCGGTTCATACATGTATAGGTTATGATAAGACTTTAGTGCAAACCATAGTCATGTAACTCTATATGGTACGAACAGATGTTTTGTTCCATCCAGTGGTTGATTATGTTACACAATAATTATGCTCGACATATGGCGCATTATATAAATATCTGATGGCTCAGAAGCTCCTTTTACTAGTCTGGTTCCTTGATCTGACGATCACCTCACGCGTCTTAATCGACCTTAGGTCTGGTAACATTTAAACGTAGAACACGACGCAGCAAATTAAGCCATGCGGGGGCATATTCGGGGCACAAATTAAAATCGGATACCGGGTATTTTTTTCCGGCATTAATCATTGACCTTCGTTAATGATAGCCTTCGTGGTCTTATGATTCAAACTTGCCAGGACTGATGTACAAACATGACATGCATTTTGTTGGTAAATAAAACCAGCTTATCCTTATCACGAATACCCGAGCTATCTCGAACATATCGGGGTATCAACGAAAACGAAAAAGGCAGGATCCTAAATGCACGGGTATTTTTTTGGTCACATGTCTGTCACGCCTACCTGACCCACCAATATTTGTCAGAATAGTTAACAAAAAAAATGAGTCTTGAACTATAGTTAATTTGCTTCCGGATTATCACAATGCTTTCGCCATTGACGGGGCTATCGTGATACAATTGTAAGCTTGCTTGCATAGGTTACTCGTTTGCTTACTCAGAATGAACTGCACTCCCAGGTGTAGGGAATTAATGGAGCCGATGATCCACAGTCCCGTATCGAAGTCATCCTTCATGGCCGTGATGAGAACACCGAAAGCCTTCAAGCTCCCAATGACGATGAACTCTGCTACACAGGCCGCAAATACAACAACCCAGCCCCAGCCTCCTTCCTGGTATACATGTTTCTTGGGGGACGCCATCATGAATCTCCAAGATATGTTGAAAGTTATACACACGCAGTTTGATATGGCATTTCAGAAGAGTTTCAGTGTATAGTGTAACTGATGAACTTTTTGTCTTTGTGAAATGGCCCACAGAGCACAATACAACTGATAGGCCTCCCTATATTCAATAGCATGCATTGATAATATGCCCAGCGGAATATGTTTGTATTGAATGGACCTTGGAATACAGACAGACAATAGATAGCATAAACATCTGTGGTTTACCTGTGTCGCCATATTAATTTTCTCGTGGCATTGAGCAGTGCCTTGACCTGTACATGTACATAATATACTGCCTGCAATTATTTTTTATGCCATCAAATTTTTGGCTGTTTCGGCATCCAACCGAAACAGCCTTTGTTTTTGTTATTTTATGGTGATTGTGAAGTTTAGGACACCTTTCCCCACGGATAAACACATTCTATGTGTAAGTTTTTTTGTTATGCCACATTCTGAACAAACAGTGTAGTGTGATTGTGAAGCCGGATTGAGCTCAATAAAAGTACGAATTGAATACGAAAATGATTTGTCTCCAGAGTGTTTTATTCGACCAGTTCTTGACCATGCTGCTTTCCCATTTTGGTACTATTTAGCATTTTGGTACTATTTAGCATTTTTGTGTCCTCATCATACATTGGTGTCCTCCTTAATTTGCCTTGGTCCTTATATCATTTGCCTTGGTGCAATTTCCCCATTCCTTTGTGCTCCTTGGTACACAAATTTGAGGAGGTGCGGCAATAGAGGGCGCTGTTGTAGATTCTGTTTTAATTTGAAGGGAAAAAAAAGGTTGACGCGCATGATTAAAATTGACGCGCGCACTGACCAAAAACCGAGTATATTTTTTTGCCTTATTGTGAAGCCGGATTGAACTCAATAAAAGTACGAATTGAATATGAAAATGATTTGTCTCCAGAGCGTTTTATTCTCGGTTTTCGACCATGCTGCTATCCCATATTGTGTCCCCTAATCTTGCACTAGAGGTCAATCTAATTTGCATAGGTCTCATTTGCATACCACTGTAAACATTGCATGTAATGCATATACATGTATTATCAGGACACTACATCTCCCCCTTTCTTTAGATTTAAACAAACACTGTTAATTCTTGTGAAACAAAGAGATTTGAATAAGCCAAGGTGAACATTCAAGATATCCGGGGTGTGACAATATCAGAAGTCAAACTATTTCTTGAAGAACACTCAGTTGACAAAATTATCCTTTAACACCAACTATGTCATTTTGCAGAGAAATTCTGATCACTTGCAATTTTAGTATGAAATGTGACCGCCAAAATGGCCTTGAGTTAAACAACCTGTTTAAAACCATTCTAAGAGAAAATTTACTTATTCTGTTGTAAATGGAAGTTCTGTGCTCCAAGGATCCTAGAATGTATTGAACATGTCCTTTTTTTCAGTTTACTTTAATCACTTGAGTTTAAATTTTAATGAACACTTACATAACATGCTTTAAGTGAAACGGGCTACCCGATATTGACGACAAAACGTAAATAGGCCTGTGCACGGAGGACATTAGAATGAAAGTCATGAAAAACAAGCATAAAACAGTAAGGTGAATAAAAATGGGAACATCGATTATAAAAAAAGGATGAAGCTCATTGCAACATTTACCCTCTTTGCATCATTCCATAGCATTTCAAGTTACTTATAAATTAGGCAATCGCGATATGACAAAAATTGCAAATTGCAATATGGAAATGTAAAAAGCTTTCACATCTACTCTTTTTGCAAGAATTTCCTGTAAATACCCCGTTCTGAATGCTCTCCAACAGAGCTTACAATTCGTCAGTTACATGTACCCTAGAAATGAGGGTTTTACATGTACTCTTTTTGGCAAGAATTTTCTGTAAACACACCAGTGTTAATATTCTGATGTTGATGCTTCACCGAGAGTGCTTTTCAATCATCACGTGTATACCATAGAAATGTTAACAAAGCCGTATTGAAAATTGTGGACTCGTAGATAACTGTTATTGAAATAATGTGTACATAGGCTATACTCTACATCTAACCCTAACAGTCCTGAATCCTCCAATTTCAATATAATTTTGCATACCCCCTAGAGAGTTCACCCTAACGATCCCCAACCAGCCAAACTCCAACACCAGGGTTTGTTGGAATCTGTAAGGATAAGCTGCTCTAGTAAACTGACTGTGTTTGTCTTGGGATTAGGCATACCACAAATAAGTCCAACTGTATGTGCAGAGTTTATTATAATTTTGTTGGGATTTGCAAGGGTGAGGAAGGTTCCTATGGTAAATCACCATAGGGAGTTACGTGTCGTGTTCCTGAAATCTGCGTTTAACAATCTACTATGAAGTGTATTGTAAAAATAACTATACATTGTGCACTTAAACAATGGTGTGACCACTTCATCGAATTCTTTATTGAAGGATTAATTTATGCGTTCGTACGTCCCTGAAATGTGTCGTTACTACCAACATTTGTTTTATCAAGTCTAGGGTTTTTAGAAGATATTTTAGCTAGCTCTTGAATGTCTTATCTTGTAGGGACGATGGTAAGAAGAACAATTATGGTGAACTGTTACATTGATGTATCTTACCTTTTCTGATGACCTGCAGTCTTTTTACTTGGAACTTGTGATATGTGCTGGACGCGATGTTCAGTGGTTCTGCTGATAGTTTCAGATGGTTAAATTTGACAGAAACACTGACAATCAAAGCAGTTTATGAAAATTGAACAGTGATCGCGGCGCTATGCAAATTTGAACTATCAACAACTTTATCATCCGTGGTAGAGAGGTACAATTTTGGTCTTTAAATTTTTACAGGAGATACTCGGAGTCTGGATGATTTATGATGAACAGTTTAAACTCGAGTCTTTGGTTATTGTCGGCAAATAAGCGGATATTTAAAAAATCAATATGGTGTTTAGCCCTTTACGGACGTATTTTGCAACGAAAAAATTCAGTCATGAAAATGTATAGCAGCCGTTACACGGTTCCGGTTGACGGTTGTTATTGTAATGAGCATCTGCTGGCTTGGTGAGGGCGTTAACATTAGTGTACTTTGGATTCGCTGTGTACAACTTGACTTGGGACAATGGGGGATTTGCAATTCGGGTGGTTTTCCAAATGTGACCTTATAGGTGATGAAGAGAAAATGTTCAAGTGCAAACAAAACGAAAAAGTACAACTATATGAACAAAAGAAGGGAACAATATGACTCATAATTATAACACGACTGTGAGGCAGTATATATTCACAACAGAACAATTAATAGACCCCACAATAGACCCCACAAGTTAGTCTTTATAGAAATGATATATCTGCCCGTAAAAGAAAATGCTACGGAGATTGAGAGTTCAATGGGAAGAAAGGAAAACAAGATATGGAAACAGAATGTCGTCGAACAGGTATTTTATCATGAGTACGAACACCTGTATGGCACGTACGAGTAGGCCTACATACAGGCCTATATAAGGCATTTTTTATCACGAGTACGACTATGATGCACTTTTCCACGAGTGTGTCGGAGTCTTATGTAGCACTCGTACCAACAATTAGGTACTCAGGGCGCTGGTAAGCACGTCTATTTGTAAAGACAGGTTAATTAAGTTCATGACAAATATGAGACCCATTATGTAGCACCTTTATAAATGGCATGCCGCGGCGCATATTGCAGCCACTGCCAGAAACACCGGGGCAAACCCCTTCTCTTACCGATAAGCGTTATTTAGATGCTTGCAAGTAAAAGTAGGCCTACATTTCCATGAAATTAACTTTCCGAGAACGATTCGGAAGTACGACAACGAGCTTGGACATATCTGTTGAAATTAGTACATGTATGTAAGGCATGCAACTTTTACTCGGATCAGAACTTTAAAACTGTGGTTGTGTTTAAAACTCCGTAACTTAAAAAGTACATGAGTGATTTGAATGATTTTTGTACTAAATGAAAACTAATGAATTGGGATTTCATATCCTAGATTTTGAGAGTGCTACATGAAGAACCTCACTAAAACAATGGTCCCGACATTTGGGTTTCGTTTTTTTACTCACCCTGTACAATTGTCCTCGCGAGTTTATGCATGTAACTCTGTCCCCATTGTCCTCCAAGCAAATAAATTCCCATAAACATCTTGCATCTCCATACTTTTACAATCTTTTAAAAATGCTCTCACAGTTATTCAGCCTGCACAGAAAATGATGACCATCATGTCGAGAAATTCTCACCCAAAGAAAACGACCCCTAAAACGAGTGATGTTTCCCAAAGTGGAAAAGCAGCCATCTTGAAAAAAAATCCCTCCGCAACATTATGGCAAAATAGCGCCACTTTTGGGCCCAATTGCATCCAAAATGCTCGGCATTGGAGGGGGGGGGGGTACCATTTTCCAACGTGGGCGCTGATCAAAACCAACGATTAGCACACTATTGCAAAATATACATGTATGCCACTTTTCAGGGCGACACACTTGCGAAATTAAAAATGGCACTCGTAAGGGCTGCTGGAACGAATAAAGACACTATTTTCTTGCAAAAAAAAATAAAATAAATAGTCATACACTCAGCGGGTCGATCGTGATTAGATTGACAACTATTTTCATGTTGACGAGCTTCACAATAGCGTGCTGCATTAAGAGTACTTGGCGCTTTTAGTTCCGACGTGTATTATTTGTCTCTACGATTTTTAGAAAGATGGGTGCACTCTGCAGTTTACACTTTAACCTTGATTAAAACAATTTGAAACCTAGTTGCCAGTCAGCATTTAGATCCTTGCAACAACTGAAGCACCCTACATGATTTAACAATCAATTGTTTCCAGGCTATGGAGCATGAGCAAGTACAGGTAGTGTGTTTGTATATCTCAGTAAAGTATTTTGTTGAGCATATAATCCTTCTGGTTAAATTTTGCGTAATATATAAACTTCCTTAATCCATTGGTTCGAGTCATACCTAAGGTTATAGTCAGTCTGTATATATTAAAGGCAACATATCAAAGGTCCTCCCACTGAACGTTGGTGTTCCGCAGGGGTCGATTTTAGGTCCACTTGTATTCATTATTAACACCAGTGATGTACCGTCTTGTATCCCCCCAAAACTGTAATGTTTTTATGTATGCAGATGAGTCCACTATAACTTGTAGCTCCTCCAGTGTTAAAATATAAAGGAATTTGAATACAGCTCAATTTGTGCGTAAGAAACAGACTTGAATTAAATGGTAACAATACAAAATGAATGTTGGTTCAAGGCAGAGAATCTCCAATACAGAATTGAACATGTACATTGCTGATAATCGTATATTTCAAAGCAAAGCCTAGTAAATGTTTGGGAGTTATTATTGCCGAAACATTAAGTTGGGGCCCACACGTTGAATACGTAATAAAAAACAGTTTCGTCTAAACTGGGTATGTTAAACTTAATTAATGACTATTATACACAAAGCAGCCCACACATCTCACGACAATATTCTCAACAAATGTGTGCAAAGAACCGCACGGATGTCCTTAAATGTACCCCCCTCGATCTCCTCTGCAGCGGATATAGCCCGCCACACACGACAGCTATACGTGCTGAGCAAAAAGTCATTCGAGGCCGTTTGCTCAGCGCGCAGCTCACAAAACATCCCGTGTGCGGTGAACGTTTGCTGAGTTTTTTGACTCGCGAGGCCGTGCGGCAAATATCTCCCCTGTTTGGTTTCTCTCGCCTCGCGAGGCGACAAACTCACCGTGTGCAGTCCACCTGAGCTACGTGCTGAGCTTAAAAATACCTAGCCAATGAAATCATATACTCTGTAAACGTGATCTTAAGACATTTTTGTACAAATCTTCTCAAGCTTGCTGTCGTTTGACCCATTCTTTTTAAAATGACGCTACCGACAAACAAGAATAATATGAATGATGATGTCCAATCCTGAAAAACAATCCTCTGTTTTCCATTTTGTTTATGTAAATATAGTGCAATACTTGTTCGATGGATGAGGTCACGTGAGCTTAGATCTCACGCTACGACGAATTATATTGATATTAACTACGAAATATTTACGGCTGTAAATACGGTGATTTTATGTACATCTGCATGTTTTCTTATTAGTTAATATTACTCAAGTTAGTTTCGTTTTTTATGACAACCTCTTCGATACATAACAGATGTTTGCAATTGTTATCATTGCCCTACCTTTGTAAATGTACACGTTATTAGAAATAGAGAATAATTAAGAGAAGAACTACCAAAACTAATAAAGATATACTTTATCTTTAAAATACAAATCAAATATAAAAAAAATGGGGGAAAAAACAGATTTGTCATTATGTGACGTCATCGGCAAAGTAACAACCAGCCTTCCAGAGCAGTGTCCAGAACTGTTCACAAAACGCTCAATGCATTTCTTTTTGCAGGGCCAGCAAGTTTTGTGCCAATTTGCCGATGACGTCACATTAAGTTTAAGAGGTGTTTTGTAAGCACGGCACTCTGACTGATTTGTTTCGTGCCCCTAGTCAAATAAAAATAATGTTCACAAAAACAAAGAACGCTCGAAAATTGTAACAATTTTCCCTGTTTCCATTTCTGTAAACTTAAGGAGCTATAATGCACGACTTTCCTTTGACCACTCGCGGTAACGAGCGCGGCAAAGGTCCAACAGAAAAAGTAATCCAGTGGCTACCATAGCGGCGCTATACAAGAAAAAGGTCCCGTAGAAGCTCTCTGTGACGTCATAAAGCAAGCCTAGAGAGAACGAAAATAAAAGAAATGTAAGTTAAAGTCTTATTGTTATGAGCAGAAAATAAAAATGAGTCGGTTAACATTGCTAATGCATTAGGAAGGAACACTAGAGAAGATAAAAAAAAATGTCAAGAAGTTCTTAGGGAACCTATACAGTACGTGGTGCTAGTTGTAGTATATAGCGCCCTCTTGTGAACTCACGGTCACTAAAGTCCCCACCGGGCGCCGTCATCTTGTTTGTGATCGTGGGCTATTGTACGTGCAAAGACGCGCGTAGGTCGACTATTAATAGTCTTAGTAAATTCGGAAGAAAAACAATGACCGCCATTGTAAATTGCTGGTACATGTAATTGTTTTATTCAGCAATACATGTACAAAGATATATACACACCTGCCAGAGTGTCACCCACGGAAGTGGCCAAGCCACCCAGGAAGCCCAACCAACCCAAGACGATGACGAACTTATCGACTGTGAAAGGCAGATATCTCGTCAGCACACATACCACCTGAATAACAGCGGCTATACCAGCTGCTACGAAGAACGTATTGACCATCTGCCCAGCGAAGGAAGGGATGAAAGGATCCAATGCAAGTCCCACAGCACTAACAGCAGCTGCGATGATCGCAGTCACTTGACACGATGCCAACTTTCTTTTCAACACAAAAAACGCTAAAGCAGGCCCTGCCATGCTACCAAGGCCAAAGGCCGTACTTAGGAAAGACGCCTGACCGTTCGTAAGCCCTGCAGACAGACCGTTGGGTACCATATACACCAAGATCCCGCCAAATGAAATGCTGTAGAACATTCTGATGGCTGCCAGCAGCACAAAGTCAAAATTTATGAATATCTCAAGACCGAGGGCTGAGACGACAGAATCACGCCACTTCACAGGATCAGGACCTTGAGCGCTTCGCTTCGAGAGCTGGTCCTCGCTTTGCTCTGAGGTCTGGTCTTCGCTTTTCTTCGAGAGCTGGTCCTCGCTGTGGTTTGAGATCTGGTCCTGGCTTTGCTTCAAGATCTGGTCCTCACCTTGCTTCGAAATCTGGTGCTCGCAATGCTTCGACATCTGATCTTCGCTTTGCTCCCAGGTCTGGTACTCGTTTTGATCAGTGGTTTGGTCCTCAGTTGATAGGTCTTGAATAGGGATAGCTTTGTATATTCCCGTAGGTCTTCTCACCAACATACCAGCGCAGATAAGATGGAAACCAAAGCCACCAAGTATAACCATTGCACCTCGCCAGCCGTAGGTGTCCAAAAGGATCTGTGTGGCTGGTCCATACAGCAAAAAGCCAATTGGAGCCCCGAGGAGAGACACGAAGATGGCCAAGTCGTACTTCTCGTGGAAGTACAGGGCAAACTCTGCACGCACTATCTCCAAAATGCATCCTGCACCCGAACCTGTCAGGCACAAAAAACACCTTGTCTTGATACTGGTGTATACATGTACGAGTTTTGATGTTTTTCATTTTGGTATAAGTCCGTCGACATAGAACACGGGATTGTTGAATTTAGACTAAACGGACAGTGTGGCTAGGCAGGCCTGCTTTCGATAACTAATTGGTAGAAATCTAAGCATGCATATTTGGACAAAAACGTTTTGCTGGACTCGTTCGGAGTCTAACTGCAAATGTATTTAAGCATACGTAGGCCTAATTTTGAATACCAGGTCAGGCTGCGTTTCAATTACAAGCACACACGAAGTGCGCAAACTCTAAGCTTTCCATTCCATTGACAACTTGGGCTTTTCTAGATTTTCCTTACCTGCAATTGCTATGATAGTTACAGCTAAGAAGGCGATATTATGCGTTAAAGCCGACAGAACCACGCCAAGTCCAAAGAGAAAACCGCCAAAGGAGATGACAGGGCGCCCTCCGACTTTCCGAGCTACAACCGAGGCCACGGGTGCTGTCAAGAGAACAGTAATGTGTAAATATTAATTGGCTTGTCGATTTAAAGGCTACTTCCCTTCATTTACGTCAAGTTAATCTTGTTGTAACATGTTTTACTACACCTCATAAATATTCATGATCAAATTAGCGCACGTCATTGGCCGATTCCACCGCACGTCTGGGAAGTAAAAATAATACGTGCCCAGGTGATGTCATCCCGGCGGTAGTTTTTTTTTTGGTAGTACCCAAAATTCCCTCTGGAACCCGCCTCGTAGAACATGTAGTCTGTGGCATGAAATCTTTACGGAACCAGTCTGTTGTTGTTAGTACTTGTAACTACTGCAGTAAAGACACATTAAAGAGTGTTGATACCAGACTAATTCATTGCCTGACGAACTTGAATAAATTGTGCTGAATAAAGATGCAAAATCTGCGAAGGCCGTTATCGACAAGGCAGTGAGGCTACTAAAATGGTAGAGGCTACTAAATATATGAGGTGTAGTAAATCAAATACAGCATGGTTTATTTCTGGAAAATGGTGGGAATTACTGGTCCCTTCGCTTCGTGAGGTGATCACGCTGACCTACACCTCATTCCCATTACTCCCCCTCGAACCATGCTGCATTTGTATAATACCGCATTTACGGTTAGTAGCCGGCAAAACCTGGAGCATGGGATCGCTAGCTCACATTGAAGGGGGGGGGAGGCTGGAGGTAGGTGTGACAACAACAGCAAAGTTTTATAATGATTAATCATCTGCAGACCGGAAGTTTTTTTAGGGAGACTTGTAAATGATCAATGTTTTGCATTAAAAAAAAAATAAAACTCATTGTTCGATACCTATTTGGGCTGATTGTTGCCGAAATAATGATGTCAGCTTAATTATTTACCATGATCGACCTTTTACTGTGACGACATCAAACCGGAAGTCAGGTGTAACTAATATTTACACATATCCGTTCGTGGTATTTTCATATTTCCTGAAGTTCTCCTTACTTGATGTAGCATAACCTGCCAGTCTAAACTAACTCAGTACTCCTTAAGCACAAGGTAAACTGATGACGTTATCAAACCGGAAATAACGAGTGAATAAAATGTGACTTGAAATCTATTTATCCCTAAATGCATTTGTTGAAAAATAAGAATGGCTTCTAAACGGATTTTTTAAAAATATTTGTCCTGTTTCTTTTTACATAAACATATTTACGACTGAATTAGACAATGTCAAATAAAATAGTTAAGCGCCCCATCACCCTGCGTTTGTTACGATAAGTGATAAATTGATAAGTGATAACTACATGACCATGTTAACGCCGAGCGCAGTATCTTTAGCTTTAAAAATGAACTATGAAATGTCGCATTTGTTTTATCGGTTCGGGACCACAACTCTTTAAAACTTTTTAATGCAAACCTCATTAAAAACGGTGATCTCCTCGAAAAAGGTGTCATATTTGACGTTTATTTCACGGGTAAATACTTCATCTATTACGACAAAAAATGCTTGAACAATACCATCTGTTATATCCTGAAGTATTTATTTTGAAACAATTTTGGAACAATAAGGAGTGGTATTGCACAGTTTTATGAATATTTCCGTTTTAGATGTCAGGTAGAAAAACAGACAAAATGACACGTACACCTGCAAGGAACATTTGCGATTAACATGCCAACGGGCATTAAGGCCCGTTATCACGCGTCCAACCAATTAAGACAAGTCCGTTCAGTGCATTTTGTACTAGAGCTCAGAACAGTCGTTCATCCTTGTGTGTAGGATCCGCGCTTCCATCCACACAGCCGTTAAATAGTTACGTTAGCTTAGGATGCGTAATGCAATTGCAGTCAGTGGCCGTGTCACGCACAGAGCCCTGTTTGACCTCAGTTTCTTGTTCCGAGGTCACGCACGCATGGCCCAAAAGCATACGCGAGGTCTTACGAGACTGTATTCGAGACTACAGGAAAACACGAAAAGTACCTGGATACATGCACTGTTTGGCTAAGATGGCTAGGTTAGTGAAAAGTTGAAATCGTGTGCTTTATTTTGATACCAAATATAACTGCTTTTGACAAAAATAAAGTGTTGCTATGACGTATCAAACAAAATTCATACTTTGTAGCAATAAAAGTGAGGGCCGATAGTCTTTCGCTGTACGTTCGATTCTTAAAAAAGGCCGAAAGAAATTCATTAGATAGATGATTGTCTACGCTTCATTTTCATGTGAAACAGGTGCAAGAGACTTTTATATTTGTGGTCCAAATCGCCGGTTGAAAAATGAAGACTTTTGCGAGATTTTATGATTTGCAATCACGAATAGGAAATTGTGAATAGCACGTGTGAACTTATGAATATTAAGCAGGCCATCGCGAGCTCAACCAATCAGTGGGCATATGAGGTAACAAGGTCATACCGTGTCTGGTTCCTTGCTCTGTGCTTTTACAATGGGGACGATCTTTTCGCGTTGTGAAAAATGGAAGTTGAAGGAAACATTAGGTGTACATCGAATTCTTAAAATATTAACGACATCACGTTCGCGAGATTTTTTGTGTAGACGAATGCTCATTCTTTGCTTTGATTACCTTAACATTCGGGAGATATTCGTTGTTGTCGAAAAAAAGCTGACATTTCATCACGTAATTTTTAATCGATTTGTCCGTGAAATATCATAGTCAAAATACATTGAAATCCTTTTTTATTGAAGAAAAAAATACCTTGACAGATGAATGAAGTAGGTCTTTAACTACCTAAACCAGCTTTGTTTGTGTGGATCGGTTGTGGTTTGCCATGAAAATTGCGAATTTTCTGAAGCCCTTTTTTTACGGCCATCGTTCGCTGGTCTCGCGTTGCTGTCAGTTGTGTGGACGAGAAAATAAGGCAGCTACGCGTGACACGGTAACTGACTGATAAAATACGAAGAATGCTGGCAAAAAAAAACCCCAATGCGCGACCGGGAGCGCTAGCAATTGTGCAAAACGTTGCGCCATAGGGCTCGCTCAATGACGGCCATCTCTGTAGAAACTGCAACTGCGTATTTTATGCAATCAAGCATGCATTGCGCAGTGTTGAAAATGTTCCAAACACGCGCTCTTTTTGCTCGAAATGTGTTCGAAATACAACGCAGCCGATGCGCGTTATGCAAGCTGACGCTCAAAATGCCGATGCACGTGGATGGTCTGTAGGAAATGACGTCATTTGAACGAGACCTATTGAAAGAGCCCAATGCCGTGTGCTCCTTTCAAAATAGGCCTACCCGCACTTTGTTACTATTCAAGACACGTACAAAAATGGATAACTATCCTGAAAGATATATGGAGGGATGGTTCCAAGTACTCTTCAAATTAACTATCCTTCCAGAAGTGATATCGTTCGGAAGAACATGAAGGCGGTTTAAAAAAAAAGTATGCCCGCAAGCATACAAAATTGTACCTACGTGAATCAATTTACGACAGCAACATAAAATGTGCATTCGTTTTCTCTGTGTTCTAAAAATGTAGTAACTGAGCTGAGACTTCATAAAATTAGATGCACCCAACTGAAGGTTTTGAGAAATTTTAAGTAGCTTAAAAAGTGGGCTGTTATGCTGTACAAGACTTATTGAATAGTTTACATGTAAATGGCGGTTCATACATGTATAGGTTATGATCAGACTTTAGTGCAAACCATAGTCATGTAACTCTATATGGTACGAACAAATGTTTTGTTCCATCCAGTGGTTGATTATGTTACACAATAATTATGCTCGACATATGGCGCATAATATAAATATTTGATGGCTCAGAAGCTCCTTTTACTAGTCTGGTTCCTTGATCTGACGATCACCTCACGCGTCTTAATCGACCTTAGGTCTGGTAACATTTAAACGTAGAACACGACGCAGCAAATTAAGCCATGCGGGGGCATATTCGGGGCACAAATTAAAATCGGATACCGGGTATTATTTTCTGGCATTAATCATTGACCTTCGTTAATGATAGCCTTCGTGGTCTGATGATTCAAACTTGCCAGGACTGATATACAAACATGACATGCATTTTGTTGGTAAATAAAACCAGCTTATCTTTATCACGAATACCCGCGCTATCTCGAACATATCGGAGTATCAACGAAAACGAAAAAGGCAGGATCCTAAATGCACGGGTATTTTTTTTGGTCACATGTCTGTCACGCCTACCTGACCCACCAATATTTGTCAGAATAGTTAAAAAAAAAGCTGTCTTGAACTATAGTTAATTTGCTTAATAGGGATTATCACAATGCTTTCGCCATTGACGGGGCTATCGTGATAGAATTGTTAGCTTGCTTGCATAGGTTACTCGTTGGCTTACTCAGAATGAACTGCACTCCCAGGTGTAGGGAATTAATAGAGCCGATGATCCACAGTCCCGTATCGAAGTCATCCTTCATGCCCGTGATGAGAACACCGAAAGCCTTCAAGCTTCCAGCGACGACAAATTCTGATAAACAGGCCGCAAATACAACGATCCAGCCCCATCCACCTTCCTGGTATACATGATTCTTGGGGGACGCCCTCATAATTTCCAGGATAGGTCGAAAGTTATACTCAGTTGGATTACACAGTGCAATTATCTCTGTTAGAAATTTTAAACGGGTTTTAGTGTGCACTGCTGATTATAATTCTATTACGTAACACTTCGTGCAGGTCTTCAGAGGGTATGCATTCTTTTCAGGTGCCAGGCATGCGGATCACACAATACACTCTAAAAACTGAAGTGTTGAATTTTACAATATTTTCGAAGTGTTACTACCAAATTGTTTTCAAATGTTGCAAAAGGTTATTCAAACTCTTAGTAATGCTAAAGTTAACCAACTTCAAGATGTGACTTTTCACATTCTAAAAGTGTTGTGAGCTTTCCTGCATAGACGCATGCGCAGTAATGTACATGTATTAGGCCAACTGGGCAATTTGATTGAATAGTGAGTTCAGCGCGCCGCGCGCGCGCACTTGATCATTTTCCGTCCGAGCTCCAATATGGCATTCCGTTCTTCACATTGATCTCCCAACCTCGTGCCCCGTGGGTACGATCTTGCAGCGCCATTTTGTTTCCCATCATGCCTTGCGCGATCGTAACCCCTGGAATTGTGTAATTTAAATATACCAAAATACGTTACATTATAATTAGGGCTGCAGTTTATCCGTTTTACGTGCCTACGCCATCTTTAAAATGTTAAAAGTTGTGATTTTGAAGAATTAATCCTTTTAAACACAACGTTTGGACGTTGTGTTAATTAGCAAAGATTTGTATTAAATGTACGTACCCCTTTCGTGCCTTTACAACCACAGATAAAGGATATTTTGAGCGAAAAACGAGGCTGGCATAATCCATATCGTACAGGCATCGCGACTTTTGAATCATAATTGTTTATTTCGTACGTGACGTTACGTCCAAAGCTGAGCACGCGAGCGCGAGCACATTATGGGCGCACCCGGCGTGCAATCTTCGAAATGCCCGTGCAGTACGCTGTGAATAGCCATTCAGCGTCATTTACGTCATCATCACAGCCAGGGGTTAGTGTAAGGAACGAGCACGCGCCCCTGGAATCGAGGCTGTTGATCTCCATATGCACAAAATGGATATGACATCGCGTACCAACGTCGGCTACGCGCGCGTTTTTGAAAAGGGTAAAGAACACAATTTTGCATTCGAGTTGTGTACACTTTCGAACGGAGGATTAAAAAATGAAGATGTTTTTTTTCGGTTTCTTTGTCATTTTTGAAAGAATAAAAGAAAGTTTAGAAACAGAGATCTAAATTGATCAAAATGGACGAGGCGTATAGTCAAGGTGTGTGCAGCTTTAGATTGCTGGAGCCGGGAGTAAGGAGCGTTGAAGAACAGGACAATTATTCGCAAGTAAGTTGTTTTTTTAACGAGGCCTATACAACATGGCATGGACATGATGGAGGAATATGAACATGGGAATGACAAAGCAAATTATAATATCGTTAATGTCGTCGCTCTAGTTTGAGGGGATGGCCTGTGGTAGCTGAGCGAGATATTCTGTTCAAATTTCATGCGATCTAGGCCTGTCATGCTGGTCAGCATCATTATTTTGTTTTAAGATCTAGGCCTAAACGTGCATGACTGACCCGGCAATGGCAATGAACAAAAGTTGACTCGTTTAAAATAGTTTATTCGAATAACTTTTATAACTTTGATATGCAAAATCTGATTGAATTAAGTCTGCTTTGGCTTAACGCCTACCGAAATGTTTCTATTGTTTTTCTTTATAAAGAGAAACTGAGGTGATGGTTTATGCTAACTTACTGCACAACCGGCCGATTTACCTTCATATCAAACAAAGAACTTCAGAAAAGCCATAGCAAAAACCACCAGCTGCAGGACGATATCTGAGACGGACGAAAATAGAGAACTTCACGGAGGGATGGAATCGAATACCGTATATCATATCATCCACTGAATGGAACATGCGATGTGACAGGCATCTCAGAGTTTGACTTAATTAATTCTTACGATGTGGAACTGTTAACATTGATTGATTTTGTTTTTGGAAAGAAGCTGTGGAGTTCAACGCAAGTATTTTTATGAGCTCCCAAGATGACTGACACATTATTGACAGTTTTTATGGTGAAGAAAGCAATGAGTACTTTTACGGTTGGAAATTATATTGTGTACGCCGTTATATAAGATTACTAGCTATAGCCATTAATACACCGTCATATTCGCTCACAAAAACGATTCTCATTAGGTCTACACTTACAAGTAATTATATTTAATTTCAGAAGCATAGCTAAACATTTGATTATAAACAAGACCGTGCGTAGCTTGAATAACTCTTTGACAAAATAAGTATAGTACTATTTTGGTTTGTGATTCATCTCCTTTCACACAATATCACAAGAGGTGAACGATATCATTCCCTGATCAATCTAGGGACGGGAAGACGTTTTTACTGACTACTTTGTAAAATTAAAGTTTTTTTTTTTACCTTTTAGATTCTAATTGGTTTATGTTCGGGTTTTTGATAAATATATCAATCATTTGAATTAATCCATACAATTTCTCGTGTGAGTGTTCAGTTTAAAAAATATGATGTAATTTCAGCATATTGATAATACAATTATTCATTTCATTGATGAAAGTAATTCAGTGTGCTCTAATGACCAATGTGCCAAAAATGAAATGGCAATTTACTTACAATCATTTTGGGAGGAGGGATTAAAAAAAATAAGGGAAAAGGAAATGGGGGGTTCTTAAATTTCGAAAATGCATAAGAAAGTGTACATCAAGAAAGTGTGGAAAAGCTGTTCGGAGGGATTGAGGGTAACTCTTCATCGTTCAGTTATTTTTTTTTTAAAGATTTGTTTTGGAGGAGCGCTTGAACTCCCCGCTGTAAGAAAAATTTCACTCGATAATCCATTTTCCAAAGTGAAAGCACAATGCGAGTTTACCCGTCTGACAGTAAACGCGCCGCCATTGTTCGGCCGCGTATTTGTGCACAAACACATGCGCGATGTCCTATCCAGTCTGTGTATATGGAGATCAATGGTTCTTCATAAACTTTTGTCCTACACATCGCCGACCATCATAATATAACCAGTTGAGTAAAGGTGAGATTTTTTATACATGGATATTATCGTAGGAACACTGCACATTTTGATGTTAATACTACTTTTATATCGTACGAAATTGACGGATAATTTTATACCTTAGTTCTAACAGATGGGTGTCGCTATACATTGTACGTATACGTACATACGTCCATTTGATTTGCGTGATGTATCGATGATGTTAAAGTACTTAATACAATCGACAGAAGTATGACCAATCTTTAATCTTTACAATCGCAGTTATGTGTGCATGTATTTCAATATGAGGACCATGTATCGTTACATCACGCAAATCAAATGCACGGATGAACGTACGAACATGTAAAGCGACACTCATCTGTTATAGGGTCTAAAATTATCTGTCAATTTCGTACGATATAAAGGCAGTATTAACATAAGAATGTGCAGTGTTCCTACGATAATATCTCAGTAAAAAAATATCACCTTTACTCTACTGGTTATATTGGGATGGACGGCGATGTTGGTCGAGGAAGGACGAAAAGTTATGAAGAACGCAACGCCATATTGGAGCCCTTACTATCAATGACATACTCTGTATTTATTGGTATTTTTTGCGTGCATTTGAAGGAAGATTTTTTTTGACATTACAATAACTCAAAGTAACATATTTAAAGGGTAACAGATAGTTGTCTCAACAGTTTCAAAGGGTTGGATATCAACACTTTCTTAACACTTGGCAATGGGTAAAGAGGTAACTGAAAAGTTGTTTTAACATTTTAAAAGGGTCAGATCAAACACTTTCCTACACTTTTCTAACATTTTTGCTGGATCCCAACACTTTTTTAACACTTGGAAAAGTTTGTAAAAGGGATCGACACTTTTGTAACTTTCTAAAAGTGTTGGAATTCGTAACACTTTGGAAAGTGTTGAATCAACTTTTAAAGTGTGGTTACTGACCGTTCGCCGCACGCATAGCAAGTGTTAAACTTATAATTTATAAAGTTGAATTTAACACTTTAGTTTTTAGAGTTTACATTAAAAAAAATCTATAGTACTTCAAATGAGGTAGGGTAGCATGGGTATGTAAACCCCCGGCTGAAAGGAGCCAGCATCTTTTCTTCGTGTGATAGGCATGGCGAACAGAGCAGTTCAGCTCCTTGTTCATTGCAATAATGAATACTGACTCGTCCGAAGAGGACATTAAATCACTCCAACCAGGCCAAGGTAAGCCTAGTTCTCGCCGGGACATCGATTCTCGGTTACAGGCCAATGCCGACGGTATCCAGAAGTTATCGGCTTCTGTTAATGCCATGCAAGAGATGCTGGCATCAGTGGTTCATTCCCGTGACTTATCCGGACGTGCGAAGCACGCTGGCCCCAGCAACTCCGCTGGTCTAGTTTACCCCAGTTGAAAGTCTCGGCTCAATACGACGAGGAGTTTGTGGACGAGCTACTAAGCCAGGAAGCTGTGGCATACGACCCAGCTCAATCTGTGTTTGATCTGACCTGTGTACTGGCGGAAAACCAAGCCATTATAGCGCAAGCTGTAATGGCTCATTTGAATTACTATGGATTCTTTGAATGTATTGTGTGATCCGCATGCCTGGCACCTGAAAGGAATGCATACCCTCTTCGACTTGTACTTCATTATTATTCATAAAATTCAAATTATATTTCATATTTCATATTCACATAATTTTTGAATTGTCTCTGTTAGAAATTTTCAGTGGGTTTTAGTGTGCACTGCTGACTATAAATTTGTACCATAAATCTAGGATGTTATCAGCGCTCCCCATTAAAAAATATGGCACGAGCCCCCCTAAATGAGAAGGGTGCATTTGTACAGTTTTAGTTAATATAGCGTGACTGATTTTAGGATTTATCAGTGCTCCCCATTAAAAATATGGCACAAGCCCCCCCCCCCCCCCCCCATGGATTTTCAGAGGCCTAAGTGTCCGTAGAAAATAACCAGTCTACATTTCAGCACACCTCCCTGAAAAAAAGTCTGGATCCACTTTTTGCTAGCCCCCCAAAAATATTGGCTCTAGAACCGCGCCTGGAATGGACCTTCA